TTTTGGTTGTTACATCCTTATAATGCGCCTTTAAAATTGGCACAAAGAAATGCTTTATAAAGATAACACTGAAGTTGGTGACTGACCAGACACATGTGGGCACTTTTCTGAATTCAAAGTCCATATAATATTCAAATATATAAATTCACTTTTGTCCTATTTTTAAAACAGTAAAACATTAAAACAGTGTAACATTTATGCTTTTCAACCTGACACTGATATATTCATAGTGAATTCATTTAATGTAAATGTAACTTTCCACCTCTGCTTATTCGGAAAAGGTGCAGTGGTTTGTTTGGTTTATGGTATAATTCTTTCAAAAGAGTGAATGTAACTGATGAGTGTCTAACAATGGAGACATTTTCACCTGGTCAAACACTCTATACTTCATCTTAAGTATTCTCTGCATGTGGACCTACAGCAGCAGTGACATTTTGACCCAGTTAATGCAGTGAATGTGATGGTGTTATTTTTCCCATCTTCTTCAGAACGAGGTAAAGTGTATTTGTGTGGTTGCCGTGGTAACAGGAGGACAGACCTGACATCAGAGGAGCTGAAGTTCAAACCAAACATGGCTCATTTCTGCATAATTTGGTTAATTAACTGAAAAGAAATGTCATGGACGCGCAAGGGGAAAGCTCTGCCAATACCCTGACTTTAGCTAACTTTAGAAATACTGGACAGTTAATAACCTACCAAGAAATGTATACTTTGGATGTAAATGGTCTCTTTATTTTGGGGAAAATCTTTGTTGTGCATGAGCAAAACATCAATAGTTAGATTAGCCAAAAACAATATGGAAAACTAAATGAAACAGCAATGAAACAATGCTATAGTGCATAATTATTACAGGTTAAGACATTGTATTGACCTAAGAATTCAGTTAAATGGTTGGTTTTACTGTCGGGTAAATTGGGATACTGAGACTGACAACACAATCTTGGCAACCTCTATCAAAAGTATATGGACCACAGTAATGATTAGGTCCTTTACTGACTTCTTAGGGCTGTGGGTCTTTCATCTTATCCTAACAAACAACATAGACTATTTTAAGAGGTATTTAATTGGTTTCACAAGTAAAAATTTAAGTTTATTGGTCTAATTATTTAGACTGGGAAGTCCACAATGATTAAATTAATTTGCTTTCTGGCCAATCATTATGTTAACACAACAACAACATAACACCCTGAAATTCCTTAACTCCATAAGGTGCTATATTAAAAACAAGAAGGGTTAAAACATGTAGGTTCCCTGCCCTGTAAGAGTCTTTTGAAGCCAATTTATCAGTCTGATTGTACACAAATACACTTTAGTCTATGGTAAACACATTTGTGCCTTATAAATAAACATGCGCTGTTACGTGTTTGTGTTTCATTAGCCTCAAAGGAGCTCAATGATTTATTAAAGGGGTCTAAGAGGGAAGTGGCTGCAACTTGAATCAACAGGAAAAGAGTACAATTATGGGCCAAAAAAGAAGCTTTCAGACTGGAGTCAAAGTTCAAAAGGTCAGGGTCTGGCCAGGGAAAGTAATGTTCTTGCTCTTGAAAGTGAAGGATTTATAACTGTAACGAATCCTTGAGTTTTGTGATATATATTTCATACTTATATATCTCACAAGCATTTCCAAAACAAGATGTAAAACATAATTCTGACAATCATCCCGGGGTCACCCATACATGCTACCACACCAGACAACAAAACAAAATACAATTTAAGTTTACTGATACTATCAAATTAAATATAATGTAATACTACCACTTTGGCTACTACATAAAAGTGCTACTCCCGCCTTTTACTTTGACAGTGTGCACTACTACACTTGAACGCTTTGTCACAACAATTACAAACGTAATATATTTCTTCTATACAAATACTTGGGTAAAATTTTCTTCCCTGTTACAGATGTGACTCTTTTCATTTTTGAAGGGGATTTTTACATTTTCATTTCTCATAAAAGCATGAAACATGAATAATCACATCAATGCTATTTTACTTTGGCGCTGAGATGAACCGACTTTGGGCAAAGACTCAAAAACAACAGTGTAGGCTTATTATTCATACAGAACATATGTGCATAATGGAAGCCTGAACTTTGTAACTGTCGAGTAAAAATGATTGCGCTGGTTTGGGTTGTATGTTATATGTGGTACTTGGAGAGCTAGAAGTTGGAAAATACCTAGAAACAATTGCTTATGTACTTTCTTACCACATTTGACCAAACTTTATCTTTTTAAATTAGATAACAATTCACGCTGGTTTCTGTATGTCTGTAATTTTAGTTGTGCTTGTTTTATTTTGTATTTATTTTTAAATTTTTATGTAAAATTAACTTAAATGGTACTACTTTTACTCCTTCACCAAAACCCAGTATAATTTGTGTTTCTTTACTGACAGTTACTTGTAATCAGTGAGGATAGCAGATCTATGTTATACAGTATTTATCAAGTATAAGTATAGGCATGATCCCAGTCCTCCTCTGGTGCTTTTATTTTGCCAGTGCTCAAATGTCTGTGTTGCTTTTGGCTATTGATGAAGAGCAGGAAATGTCTGATGGTCCACACAAACCCATGGAGTCTCAGTGAAATTCCCACAATGCTTTGGTGCAGTTTAGATTTACATTGTGATCCTGTGAGTATGTTTAACCCTGCGTTTGGCAAGAGCTTTTGGAAGAGCAGCAGTAACAGAAGAAGTACTACACATTTGAGGGATTTTAGAGATGCATAATAATGAGACATTGAATTATTACTTTAAAACTCTTTGACCTCAAGTAAAAATATGTCAGAATACTCCATTATTATTACTGTAAGCATTTCCATTATTCCATCATCACACGATACTTTCCTGAAAGTTACTTGAACTGTCTTTACTATCACTAATTACTCATCCATCACATTCATACATAGACAAGGCGGGTGAAGTGTCTTGCTCAAGGACAGAACAATCATCAGTGTGAAGAAACAAATCCTTAGATACCAAGGTCCAAAACTAGAAGTCTAGAATGGTGAGGTTTGACATAATAGTGTTAGTTTGAAGTGGGTAAAATTAAATAAAGACAACAGGACTCATGAAACATGCATGTACAATTACATATTAAAGGTGCATTGTATAACTTTTCTGGTGTAGGGTCTGTCATCAGATTTTTTCCTTTGGGATGTTATCGCTTTGCCCGAAATGTTCCACAGTATGACTTAAACTATCTAGCATTTATTCTATTACAGGTGTTTTTTCTTCACTGCTCCACAGATCTGATATGTAACTTGGTTTGGTGGTGTTACTTTTTTTGTCTCCATGGAGAGAGATACATTTAATGCAATACAGTGGAGCATTCTGGACAAAGTAACAACATCTCTATGGAAACGAAAAGGTAACAGACCCTCCACCAGAAAAGTTACACAGTGCACTTTTAAAAATAGAATGCCATTACTTACTGTAGCACACCAAATAACTAAGGGCACTTTAGACATTTTATATTATCTGAATGGGTGTGGTTGTGTTACTTAAGCATTAACATTATCCTGCTGCCTAGTTATGTAACAAATTGCTGTCCTGCTGTGGAGAACCCTGTGGTTTTATACAAAGATTTCAGTCCCACTCACTGGAGAAACACAAAGAGCCCAAGCCAGGACGTGTGAATGGACAGATCTTTATTGTTGAGGCCTAATTACATGCCACATTGAATTGGTCAGCCTGCCCATGCCTGTCAGTCTGTATTTAATGTTTCATATTAAAATCAAATGCCTTTTCTGTTGATGTTGGTCTCTGTGGTCCGTTTGAGATGGTTTGTAGTTGCCATGCGAGTCCAACTGAAGTCATTTCTTTGTGGTTTTATATCTCAGATCATTTATGTATTTGTTCCTATAATCTGAGCTGAAAGAACTCCAAATGTGTACATAAACAAATGTTACTCCAACAAATACTTATAGATACCCCATTACGTCCTATTGTATGTGCCACTACTATATGACGCTAAACTATAAACTATATGTCACTACTATGTGCTGCAACTACATGTATACTACTACTACAATATTACTATATGTATATGTATATGTATCAGTATATGTATATGTATATGCATACCTATGTTCCTACCTCCACTTTGTTACAAAAGTGTGATAAATTTTTTTTTTTTTTACTTGTCAAATTGCTCCATGCGTTATTCAAAAAGGCTATTTCCAACTGAACCATAAATCAGTGGAAATTCCATTGTTGGATGTAATTATTTCCTTTTATTGAGAGAAGTAAAAGTGTGGTTTTAATTAAGACCCATTTATTTGTTCTACAAGTGTTTGGTTCCCATGAATACCAGTGGGTAAACAATAAGACACAGAGCTAGGACATTTCTCTGTGGTTGTGGAGTGGACTCAGTTCCCCACAATGCATTAGTGGATGGTCAGGTCACAGTGAATGTGAACCATGTACAGTCTATGTCTATGATGTGAACATAAACCTTAGAAAGACATTTGGAAAAGTCAAGCTAGGTTAGGGTCATAGACTATATAAATATGGTTAGGATATGCGCAATCACCCAAACACAACCCTCAAAGTAAGCCCACCATCCAAAACCCTGTGTACATTTTGTATGGAGGAATTACTGCAAACTGTACAGGCCTAAACTGACATGGTTTGGGAAACTGACAACATAAATGTGCTGTGCACAGCCCCAATGGGCCATTTATGTCATGCTAGTTGGCATCAGCTAATTGAGCTAAAGGTAAGTAACCCCTTTCTGAATGTTTGTGGGGTTTTTGGACAAGTACACTTGTGCAAGTTTGACAAATGTGACAACAATAATACTACTGCTTTGCCTTACTTGTAGATTTCATACTCCCTTTGAATTTTACATTAAAAATACACATAGGTTAGGTTAATGGTCTGCTTTACATGGAACCATAAGAATTGTATAGAGTTTCAGCCTTCAGGTGCGCAGTGGCTGTGATATGTGTTTTGAACCCTGTCTCTGTGTGTTTGCACTGACCTGCTGTGTCTCAATGTTGCAGGTCAGAAGCAGGTCCATGTTTTGGGGATGAAGCTCCAGCGGGACATGCACTTCCTCCTCCTGCTGAGCCTGCTGGGACCAGCCTCATCCCAGGTTAACCCAGGTCCGTGCCCTCTTCTTAACCCGTCTGTACTGCTGTGTATATTATGAAAGCTGTAAAATGCCCTGCAGTCTTGGGCCATGTTGTGTTGGTATTGGTGCAGTTGTATAGTCCAGACTGGGTTAGGTCTTGGATAAGTGCCCCTCTGTGGTCTGCTCTCTTTGGTCTGGTCTTTGATCCCAGCATGGACCTCCAGTGTACATGTGGGTTGAGTGATGTCAATGAAAAACTCACACAGTTTTCACAAAGTAAATAACATTTCAACAAAGTAAAGTAAAATTTAAGTAAATACAGATACAAAGTTTGTGGGTATGGTAGTATGCATTTAGACAATCATTGAAAGGACTTACGTCTCTTACTGGATAACCTGAGCCTGACAAGGAATTTGTCCATGAGCTATGATTGCTACTACCATCCATTTTTGCAGCATTTTTTTCTTAATGGTTCTATTCCTGTTTTGTGTTTTGTTTTGCCCATTTGTGTATTTGACCACTTATATGCATACGCCCTCATACTGATGCAGAGGATCCAGCTATCCCACTGGAGTCTGTGGCTAAAGCATACCAGACATTCTGACAGCAGGAAAGTCCATTCAGAATAACTGTGTCTCTCCTGTGCACTAGCGTATATCTCTAAGAGTGTGAGTGCTAGTCCCCTCTCCACTCATAAGTCATGGAAAGAACAGTGTTTGTGCATCTGATAATGGTGAAAGTGCAACTGGTTCAGCTGAAGGTTTTATTTGAATTACGCAAGGATTTACTAGTTGTTTTGCTCTACACAATCACCTCTACTTTGACTGTGAATCTAAATCTAAACCTGTTGTCGGCTTTATAAACAGACGTGTAAGGGACCCCTCCATTATTGTGCATGACGCTTCTGCAGCATCTGAGATTTTTTTTTCCCACCAACTGGAAATATTCATGACTGAATTTAAGAGAGGGACGATTCCAACTTTCCTCTGTTTAAAATTCCCAAGCAATGAAGTTATCCCATCCCTGTCTATCCCATTTTACTCCTGAGTGGGCGAGTTTTATTTCTCTGTGGAGAGGGAAGGAAGCACCGCGGACACTCATTATTCTGTTATTATTGTACAGTTTGTCTTTTTTCACTGGGAATTTTCTGAGGTCTCCAAATGGTCTTACTTTAAACTTTTTGCGCTTTAAAGGCTTTTCTTTTTTTAAACCCAGACTGTATTCGACGGGAACAGTAAGCACCGTGAAAAGGGTGAAGAGTAAATAGAGACATGTGCTTCAGCCTAACCCCTTGAGAATAGTTCTTCACATTTACCTCTGAATTTATAAAATTAAATGAAATTTATCAACAGAATTCTCAAACCATGTATGTCTTACTCATTTTAAAATTCTGACTGCTTCCAAAACTAGCTTGAAATCTAAAAAAGTTGCCATTAAGTAGGCCTGGTGTGTAAAGAATCCAGTGGCAGTTTGTGACATACACAAACTTGGCATGAGTGAATCTGTGTGGACCCAGATGCACAGCAATCATCTGAACAAGTCGCTCTTTCAGAAAACTCTGTCTCTCCCTGCCACACAAGGCTGGTATTTTTCCACGTTTTTGTAGTGATATTTTTAGCCTTGGCTGTGGCCCGATGCAGACCCTGGTGAGTGGGGGTGTTGCGGGATAGGGCCAGGGGGTCACCTCTGAGTGGGTCGGGTAGATAAATAAACACGGCAAAAACCAACATTTGAAGGAGCGGTGTGTATCCGGTGCTGCACAGAGTAACTAGTCTCTCCCTCTCCTTTAGGATGTGGTTAAACTCTGATAATGACTCTTATTTTCTTTCATTACGACCCAGGCCCTGCTCTGTGCTTTTCCCAGTGGGGATGATGTACTGTCTGTGGTCTTTATTACTGTATCTATTTGGCTCCACTTGATACAAAACTCAACAACCCCAAATGACTCCCTTATAGCATTACTGTCTGCTGAATGTAGCATTTGTGGGTTTGGAAAGAAATGCTGACGCTGATTTTTGCTTATTTATCTGTTTACATGTGGAGCACTTTAGGTTGATAACGTTTTGGCACAAGGCTGTCTGTAAATAGTGGTTTTGTAACTATTTTACACCATGACTTTACAGACTTTTGACCCGGGCCTACTTAGAGGTCCTATATTACACAAAATTGTCTCTTATGAGCATTAAACCATGCTATAATGCTGTTACCTCATCGAAACATACCTGGAGTTGTGTTTTGTTTCATTCACATATATTTGAGTAACCCTTTATTATTGTATATTTGACCTCTTTTTTAGAGACTGGCAGTTCCATGGCTGAAATCATACAAATGATTATAGTGAAGGTGTACTGAGTTTAAAACACAGTGGAGCAGTTCCCGTATTACCACATGACATCACGAGGTGAAAAAAGTGTTTTCCATTTGAACTCAGTCTAATTGTGCAGGGTTTGTATGTTAAACATGTTAGAACAAAACAAAACACAACTCCAGATGTGTTTGTAATGAGGAAACAACAATATCACAGAGATAAACAAATATTATGAGCCCTTTTAAGTCGTGATTTTTATGCAATAGCAGAAGATAATGTTTTATTGTTTAAAATAGTGTATGCATTTCTCTATAAATCACATACTGTGGATAGGATGGCTTTGCACAAAATTACCTTGCTAAGAAAAGTGAGATTTTTGTGAAAGAATTCATCGCATTTTAAAGTGTTTAGATTGTCAGTGACATTTACCTGCATTTCAGCTGAATATAAGTTATAGGTTCATCAGTGCACCACACACCCTGTTAGCCAGTTACAGTTTGGTTATACAGTCAGATGACAGCTAATGAGAAGTATGGAGTAGAGAGAGAGTAATGCGGTGGATGTGGTTTTTAAACACACTTGAGGAAGATGGATTTGCACAGGAGAAAATAACGCTCATCAACCAACTATTCAGATATAAACACAAACCAGCGCCCTTCTTCTGAAACTCTTTGGAGCAATTTTGTCACAGGTCCCTGCTCAGGCCTTTTGGGATTTCCTCATCCAGAAAGTTTGACAAATATTTGGAGGAGATGCAGAAATAGGTAGAGGGGATCAGAGCAGGAGAGAGACAGGACAGAGTGGCCCTATAACCTGAGCGGTGCTGAGGCTGGCAGGGTCTCAAAGAGTTTTCTGTCAGACAAGAGTACAGTGTATGTATAATGCCTTTCATCTGAAGGTCTTTCATCAATTAAAAGCTAATGCTGAGATAATGTTAATTTCCTGTTCATATAGGATTCTCTGAGCTAAATACACTGACACACCCGTCTCATACTGACGCATTCAGTTCTGTGTAAAACTAATTTGTCATGGTTTTTAATCTACTCAAACATTTTTTTAGTAATGAATGGGTAACATTCAAACTATTGGACAGACATGCTTTTGTTATAAACAGTTCCATACAGGATAGTGCTTTTATTAGGGCTAACATACAGAAACAGAGAGGTTATTAGACTCAACTTAAATTCTTAACAGCAGACGATGTTTCATTACTATATTTTTGTCTTGCCAGTTATACCAAGGAAATGACTGACCAAAATTGTTTTCATATTAACTGCTACTACAGGATGGCACTCAAGTCAGGCTGGAGTCAGACTGGAGTTACAATTTTTAGGACTTGAGCCTTGACTTGATAAAATAGACTAAGACTTGGGACTCAACTCGGACTTGAAGGTCAATGACCCTGGACTTGACTCAGACTTGAGGCCTGTGACTTGAGAAGACTTGATGCTTCTGCTACAAAATATATATTTTCAGAAAATACTTTTCTCTCTACAGTTGATAAATGCACACTGAATTTTACAGGAGCAAACTGGAACATGTCCCTCCCACTTCTGTTACTTTGGATGGAACTGAAGTACTGTGATACTCAAATGTACTACAGCAATATACAGTACAATACAGTAATATACAATACAATACAGTAAAACAGATGGAACTACAGAGAGAACATGATCTTTTATGACCAAATAAAGTTATTTAGCACTTTTAAATCTGAATGCTTTCTATTCTGCCTGTAATGATTCACACTAAGATCTTGACAAGACATTTAAAAAGGAAAAATTTGCATTTCTTATATAAACACTCTTATATAAATACTTATATAAATAAGTACAATTTAGTTTAAGTTATATAAATAGCAAAAATCTGGTTTAAAGACTTGAAATGACTTGAGGCTCAAAGCAGATGACTTGGACTTGACTTGGTCTTATGGGCCAGTGACTTGAGACTTGACTTGGACTTGCCTGTATTGGACTTGAGACTTGACTCAGACTTGAGGCCAAAGGCTTGAGACTTACTTGAGACTCGCAAAACAACAACTTAGTCCCACCTCTGGTTATTATTACGCCTAGGGTAATTCTAATTTACCAACTATTTCTTTAATCCCTTAGTACAACAGGCCACATATGCACAGAAAGCTAAATTTAGGAGCATTGACAGGAAATAGACGGAATATTTTTTCTATTCTCCACAATCTGAGGCGAAGATTTGAAATCTTCTACAATTTTACCACATAGACCCACCATGACCATCTTCTGTTGACATAAATGTACCCATGTATTTCAATACTTCAACCACAATTCAGTTTTGAAAGCACAGTTACTGGGATCTGCGTGCCATCACACCAGACCATATGTGCAGTCCTATCCATCATGGTCGACCAGCGCTTTGACAGGAACCCCTCTGTCTGTGTTAGAAGCGTTTGGCAAATATTTTAGTTTTGGCTTTAAGAAGTTGATTTTGGAGCAAGGAAGAAGAGGTGAGGCTGCATGGTGGGATAATCCAGGTAAATACTAAATGGTAGAAAAATACGAGAATCCCCTGGACTAAAAATAAACAGCCAGATTGAAAATAATTTGGAGAGCAGATGCGTTGGTAAGAGCTGGGAAGGAGTGGTCTGAAAAAATATTTTATACTTCTGTCAAAGGGCCACAGTGGGATGTTTAGGGCAGTATGTACAGGACTATCCTAACCAGAACCACAAACTAAAGACCATGTTTCCATGTGGGAAGGATCATCAAGAAAGCTTTCTCTACTGATAGAAAATGGGGAATAGAAAATGGTAAATACTGTGTCAAGATGATAATGTCAAGATGACTAAATGTGTAAGAGTGATTTTTGTGTCTGCTCTACACTCATCATGGTTTCTGTACTTGTTTTTAAAAGATATTTTCTTGCACAAACAGAGTCAATTCAAGTTAATGCCATGTTTGCATATTCAGTTAAAGATTTTTTTCATTAATATATCTCAGAAATCTTTATTTTGTTCATATTCAGTGTAGACTATATAATTCATAGTCAGACGGCTGTATTGAATGTCTAAGTTCCATGCAGCTGCCTTCCGAATTATCTTTTTTAATGTATGCATTTCCATCAATTTACCCAAAATAGTGTTAGTGTTTGCATTTAAATTATATATAGAGAGAGTTTTTAGTATGGCATCATTGACATGCATGATTGTTCTCACAACCATTGGCCTCATGTATTAAGTGTGTTTGTGTTGCTCCCAGCAGGAGTGTGTAGGTATCCTCTAGGGATGTCAGGAGGACAGATCCAGGATGAGGACATCTCTGCCTCCAGTCAGTGGTCCGAGTCCACAGCCGCACGATACGGACGGTAAAGACACATTCAGAAATACATCTAACTTTTATTCCTTTTTTTCCTTTTTTTGGATTGTTGCTTTTTTGGCTAAGGGTTTACCATCAGCTTCTCTCCATGGAGAAGTTATTTGTCTTGGAGTGTTTCACAGTATGGCATTAAACTTATTTATCTACATGGAGACAAACAGGTGACGCCACAAGGCCAAGTTATTGGTCAGATCTGTAAAGAGGCGAGCCTGCTCACATTAAGATGCATGTTTTATTTTTGGGCTTAAACTTATAACTGAAAATTGAATAAAGAGAGATTTTATGCTATATTGTGGAACATTGAAGGTGAAGCAAAAACATTTCCATGGAGGCAAGCAGTGCATCTTTAATACTTGTTTAATCTGCTTATAGAAGGTTGTGATGCACAGTAATAATACATACTGTACATGTTAGATGTTTTAATTTTCTTGACATGAAGTAGTCGTCTTGCTCCCCCTCTGGAGTGTGCCCTGATGGTGTTTGTGGCCGGGTGGTGCAGGTGCCTGTTTATTTGCAGTAAACCGCAGTTGGAGTATCAGTTCTGGTGTGATTAGAGAGGTATGTGTGGAGCCTGGGTGGCCCTCACTAAAGACCAGGCAATGATGTAATATACGATCCCTGTACTTTGAGCCCGACCAACCTCCTCTCTGCCCTCTGCCAAAACTCAAACCCAAATTAACACTTTCAGATGAATTTACGACACAGGTTTTTACAAGTGTTTTCATTACGGTCTGAAAGTCTACCACACTCCCTCCTTTTGCGATTCTCTTAGGTGGAACGCAACTAGATACTTTCACCCTTTTAAATCCACATGGTTTTCTTTAAGTCATTTTGATATTGCCATAACACATAAAAAGTATTGGTATATTAGAATTCTTACTGTGGCGTCAAATTCAGTAACATGCTTCATTTGCAACCAGAAGGTCACAAGTAGAATCAAGTTGTATTTTCTGTAGCAGTTATACCTCCAGGTCAAGTTACAGGTCTGATCTGTGGAAAGGTGACCTTGCCCACAGTAACTAATTAATTGTTAACAAATGAATAAGATTAATACCATACTGTGGATCATTCCAGACAAAGTGATGACATTTCCATGGTAACAAGCAAGTGGTAGACCCTCTCCCAGAAAAGTTACAAATTGAAATTTTGAACAGTATGCCAGTAATAAAATTAGACCATAGTTTCCATAGTGCTATTTAGTATTGCTCATCCACACATTATAAACCCATGTGTTTTTCTGTCTTTCCCAGGCTAGACTTTGAGGAGGGGGATGGGGCGTGGTGTCCCGAGATCACCGTAGAGCCAGATCATCTGAAAGAGTTTCTTCAGATTGACCTAAGATCTCTGCACTTCATCACTCTGGTGGGTACCCAAGGGCGACACGCGGGTGGCATCGGCAATGAGTTCGCCCAAATGTACAAGATCAAGTACAGCCGCGACGGGAGCAGGTGGATCTCCTGGAGGAACAGACAGGGCAAGCAGGTGTGTAATTCTGTTACACCCATAGACTGTATAAAGAAGTGGACTAAGGGGGTTAGTTATGTCCATTTATATACACAGTCTATTGTTATACCTAAATATTCAGTGAGGTATTTTTATTTGACTTTTAGACTATATTTTGCAAAGTAAATGATGAATAATCTACAACCACAAACTTGGGCAAGACACTTCACTTCTGTTTCTGGTGAAGTCATAATATGTGGCCAGTTGCAACAGGAAGGACATCCTCCATTGGAATCTGCTCAGTCACTGTGTGCTGTGGTAACACTGCATAGAAACGGAGAAAAAACAGGGTCAACAGTAAAAAGACTGTTACTGGAAAATATATTGGCTTTTATTTGTTATTTAATGTTTTGACTTTATTACAGTCATTCCTTTTACCTTTTTCTTGTAGGTGATTGAAGGAAACAGAAATGCCTATGACATCGTCCTGAAGGACCTGGAGCCTCCGATAGTTGCCCGGTTTGTGCGTTTTATGCCTGTGACGGACCACTCCATGAACGTATGCATGAGGGTGGAGCTGTACGGCTGCGAATGGCTTGGTGAGAGGAAAGAGAGAAGTGTTAAAGCTTTAGCATTGGTTGACGAGATAGTTGTAAGAGTGTGTTCCAATTTGACTATACGTACACTGTGTCCATAATTATTAAGCAAGTTGTATTTATGAGGATAAATTTTATAATTGAACAAACACAGCGCTGTCGGTCAATCCAAAATGCTAATAAACCTCAAACCTGAATATTTAAGAAAGTAAAAGTGAAGTTTCTTGATCTGTTGATCATCAACTTTTTGTGCAGCAGCAACCATAGCCTCCCAGATGCTGTTCAGAGAGGTGGACTGTTTTCCTTCACCGTAAATCTCCCATTTAAGAAGGGCACAAGTTCTCAATAGGGTTTAGGTCAGGTTTTTCTTTACTGGCTAGCCACGCAGTGATACTTCAATACATTGAATGGAGCATTGTCCTGCATAAAAATCATGAGCCCCTTGAAAGAGGCAGACTTTTTCCTGTGCCACTGTTTGAAGAAAGTGCCTAACAACTGGCAGTAGTTTTGGACTTCATTTTGAGTCCATCTTCAACCTGAAAAGGTCCAACAAGTTAATCTTTAATAATACCAGCCCATAACAATACCCCACCTCTAACTGATTCTGAAAAGTCAAAAGTACATCTAAAAGTAAAAAGTCTTTCAGAGGGATTCATCTGTCTTGAAATTGCAAAGATATTGGAGTGTGATCACAGAACCATCAAACATTCTGTTGCAAATAGTCAACAGTGTCTTAAGAAACATGTTGAAAAAAAAAAGATGCAAATTAACTGCAAGAGATTGAGAAGAATCAAACATGAATCTGCCATGAAGCCAATATCCAATGTCAAGACTCGGCCAAGAAATATCTGGAGACAGATTTTCAAATGTTTTATGGACTGATGAGATGAGAGTAACTCTTGACGGACCAGATGGATGGGCCTGTGGCTGGATCAGTAATGGGCACAGGGCTCCACTTTGACTCAGATGCCAGCAAGGTGAAGGTGGGGTACTGGCATGGGCTGATATTATTAAAGATGAGCGTGTTAGAGATTGTAGGTGGACTCAGAATCAACTCCAAAACCTACTGCCAGTTTTTAGAGGACACTTTCTTCAAGCAGTGGCACAGGAAAAAGTCTGCATTTTTCAAGAGGATCATGATGTTTATGCAGGACAATGCTCCATTGCATGTATCAAAGTATTCCACTGCATGACTATCCAGTAAAAGCTTTAAAGATGAAAAAATAATGCCCCCCTTCCTGAGCTGACCTAAACCCTTTTGAAAACTTGTGTGCTCTTCTTAAACAGGAGATTTAAGGAAAACAGTACAGCTCTTTGAACAGTGCCTGGGAGGCTGCACACAAAGTTGATCGTCAACAGATCGAGAAGTTTACAGACTCCATGAATGGAAGACTTATGACCGTTATTGAGAAGAAGGGCGGCTATATTGGTCACAGATTTTTATTTTTTTTTGAAATGTCAGAAATGTGTATTTGTACATTTTTAGTTGTTTATTATTCTGACAGATTAAAATGTTGTTGTGTAATAATTCTGCACATTAATAGTTGCTCAATAATTGTGCACACATAGATTTTCTAAGAAAACCAAAACTTCACTTTTACTTTCTTAAATATTCAGGTTTGAGGTTTACAACTTTCTGGGTTGACCGCAAGCACTGTAGTGGTTCAATTGTAAAAATTAATCCTCATAAATACAGCTTGCCTAATAATTACGAACACAGTATATAGATTTGTTGTGTTATACTTAATGGGGCAACACAACACTGATATTGTACTCTGCATTATTTATATTTCAGTATGAATATTTTTATATATTTATATTAATGTATTTATATGTATTTAATATATTTTCTTTAGCTTAACTGTGGCAGTCATTATTTCTGTAACTTAGAATTTTAAAATAACAACTGTGCATCTGGTGGTTTTGTCTTTCACCTTATATGTATTATGTTTCACCTTATGTTTTCTTCCAGATGGTCTGGTCTCATATAATGCTCCCACTGGAGAACACATGACTTTGGCTGGCTCCTCTGTTTATCTGAACGATTCTGTCTATGACGGAGCACTCGTTCACAGGTCAGTGCATTTTTGAAGAATTTCACTCAAATCATTGAGGGAAAGATTTTTTTGTTTGGTAAATGTGTGGATGATAAGTGTACCAAAAGAAGATATAATTGTAGTCCAGTTGCTTGAGTAGTGATTATAGTCTTAGTTTAGCTACACCTTTAAAATATCTGTAATTCTAACTTTTACTTATACTTAAATGCTGTAATAATCAGTATAAAGCCCAGAGCAGTTCTGTAGTGTATGTTGACAACAGTGTTTTGGATGATGATATTGTGGTGAATAATGTCCTTCATGACTCTGCCTCAAGAACAGGGAAAGAGTGGAGACGGAAAATAAAATGGAGAAAATTGGAATATCATCCAAATTCCTCAGGTGACAATTGGCTTTGTAATGCCGCCACCTAGTGTTGATAAGAGGTATTATACATTGATTCTTGTTTGAAGAGAGGAAATGGTAAATTCTTCAGATATTGCTATTACCCTTCACCCTATTTCCCCCTTAATGTTGTCTGTAGATATTTGTTAATTTGAAGGTTTACAGCTGTTGTTTTTCTCATGCAAAGGAAAACTAATATTATGTAATTTTTATACATTATTATTATTTTGAATATAGTATAATGATTGTTGCCTCTGGGATATTTGTTGACTACAAAAGTGCATTGCGTGATTAAATGTACGGTAAGTAAATGAGTTAAAACCGTTTGCAGCTAAATGATGTAGATGAGTACACAGATAAAAGGAAAACAAAACAGTCTTTAGCTTACATGGTCATTTTAACACTTTAGCAATATGAACAATTTTTTTTTTCTCTCTCAACAAGATGCCAACATTAGAAACTAAATAAAATGTATCATGGTTTAATTTATGGCACTGTTCTTTGAAGAGAGTGGTATATTCTAGCTGGCCTCATGTTTGACAGATTTCTTTCTTTTGTTTTTTTTTTGTTTTTTTTAGTATGACAGAGGGCCTGGGCCAGCTCACTGATGGAGTGTGTGGTTTGGATGATTTCACAGTCAGTCGTGTCTACAATGTGTGGCCTGGTTATGACTATGTGGGCTGGAACAACGAGAGCTTTCCAAATGGATATGTTGAAATCATGTTTGAGTTCGACCGCACACGCAATTTTACCTCCATGAAGGTGAGGTCAATGCAGTACATGCCCAAACCAATCAAGCAAAACATTACAACCACCTGAATTATTTTTCATTTAACCACCTATTTTTAATTGGCATGGTATTTTTTGAATATTTGTATTTTGCCATAGCAGCTTGTCTAAAAGAGTGTTTTGAGCCTTAGAGATGTACAGCCTGCCTAAAAGCTCGCAAGAGTCAATTTGGCATATTATAGGACCACTAGCAACTAGAGGTTCACTTGCTGCCTTATATAGCCAATTCTTCCTGATTACATGAGATTGTTTTTCTTTTTCTTGGCCAGTAGCCATATAGTTCTGTTTTAGCTTTATCATTTACCATTTCTCCTGTAATTAAAAAAGATCCATATTTCTTGTCTGCAGGTTCACTGTAACAACATGTTTTCAAAGCATGTTAAAGTCTTCAGACAGGTGGTGTGCTACTTCAGGTCGGACTTGGACTGGGAGGTTTCGCCCCTGAGCTTTAGTCCAGTGGAGGACCCGAAAAACCCCAGTGCACGGTTTGTGACTGTGAACCTGGCCCATCACATGGCCTCTGCTATCAAGTGCCAGTTCTACTTCTCAGAGGCCTGGATGCTCTTCAGCGAGATCACCTTCCAGTCAGGTACACTACTGGAGGTTAAGTGGGACTTTCATTTGTGCCTTGAACTTGTTTATTTGTTATGCATTATGGCATGTTGTCAAACTGTTGAGTACTTCCATCAGGTAAAAAGATCAAATATAACATAAAAAAAGTAAAAAGTGCTGTTTCATAGTTTTACCCAGTTTATTTTATTTACAGACACTGCAATGTACAACACTACACTGGCGCCACCAAAGACTAATTTACCAACAAATACACAACCAGGTAATGATCCACATAAAAAGTTTAAAACAGTTTAAAAGGAAATTTAAGCCAAATCAATGCATATTAATTAATTTTGCAAATACAAGTCTAAGCATTTCAGGTGAGTAACCTAGAATAACTAATCTTTTCCGTCTCTCTGTCTCCCTCTAGAGGACGACCCCACTCACAAAGTGGACGACAGTAACACTCGCATTTTGATTGGCTGTTTGGTGGCTATTATCTTCATCCTTGTGGCTATCATCGTCATCATTTTGTGGCGACAGGTGTGGCAGAAAATGCTGGAAAAGGTGAGTTTATTTGAACTCAAATGCAAAACCATTCTCTGGGGAGCACAGCAATTTTCTGCATTTGTGTTTTAGTTGTCATGTTATTAAACCAAATTCACATTTTATGTTTTATTTACTGGAATAACATGATTCATATTATTATTATGCAGACCATAAAGTTGTTACTGTCATTGCATTTTTTAGCAATTTCCCTACATTTCCTTTATAGTGTTTTTTTTTATTATTTTTTTTTTATTATCTTTTTTATCTTTGCAAACATTTCCCTGCAAAATATTGTTTATTTATGCTTATCATGGCTATTATGTGGGAATTTATATTGCTTTTATGTATGGTGGCAGAATAATGCATAATATTCACAAAATGAATACAAATAAAATGTAATTGTTGTTCAGCGATTCTCCAGTGTATAGTGTATTCCCTCATCCTAACTCACTCATTCTAGGCCACTCGGCGGATGCTGGATGATGAACTAACTGCTAGTTTGTCAATACAGAGCGAGACGTTCACCTACAGCCACAACAACAACCCTCAGTCCAGTTCAGTCAGTGAGCAAGAGTCCAGCTCCACCTACGAGAGGATCTTCCCCTTGGGCCCAGACTACCAGGAACCCTCCCGACTCATATCCAAACTGCCTGAGTTTGCACAGACCTCAGAGGAGCCAGGTACAGGAAGTAGTTATTCTGTAAAGTAAAGGTGCTTCATATTATGCATTATTGACTGTTTTTATAATGGTATCAAAAGTTCCCTAATGACATATAGACCATGCTGTAATCTATACGCTTATTAGAGTAGTTTTACCAAAGTTTATATTGATACATATTTATTTATTTTTTATTACCCTGACAGAAAAAAATGCCCATTTAAGTACAAAAAAAAACAAAACAAAAAAAAACAGTTAAACCCATATTTCAATAATCAATCTACTTATTTTTTGCAGCATCTTCCAGCACAGCTGCTTCTAAGTCCACCACATCTACTGTGGTCCAAGATAGCGTCCCTCACTACGCAGAGGCGGACATTGTAAATCTACAAGGAGTAACTGGGGGCAACACATATGCTATCCCCGCTGTTACCATGGACCTGCTCTCAGGGAAAGATGTGGCCGTGGAAGAGTTTCCACGAAAATTACTGACATTCAAAGAAAAACTTGGAGAAGGACAGTTTGGAGAGGTTAGTTTCCTTTAACTGATGTTATTATACTGTATTATAAAATACTTCCAATGAAATGGATGAAAAGTAAAGAATATGATGCAGTGCACTTCTTGGGTACCAATGTGGTTCAAACTAAGCTTCAGTTGGTTTTATCTTATAAGTTATCACCTTTCCTTGGTCAGTTGTGATTAGTTATATGCCTGTGTGAATGGTAACAGAAACAGAAATGAAAGATACTTTGATGATGATGATGATGATGATGATGATGATGATTATTATTATTATTATTATTATTATTATCATTATTATTATTATTATTATTATTGTATCTTCCCTGTCCTCATTGTAATTCTGCCACATCTCATCTTTTTTCAGGTGCACTTGTGTGAAGCAGAGGGGATGCAAGAGTTTATGAATAAAGACTTTAAATTTGACTACCCTGAGGAGGAGCCTGTTTTAGTGGCTGTAAAGATGCTTCGCTCAGATGCTAATAAAAATGCAAGGTAATGCTTATGACAGGATGATTTTTGAAATGTAAATATGTAAATATTTTGTACTAATCTGGAGTTATTACTTTCAGAAATGACTTCCTAAAAGAAATAAAGATCATGTCTCGTCTGAAGGACCCAAACATTGTGCGTCTTTTGGCTGTGTGCATATACAGTGACCCCCTATGTATGATCACAGAGTACATGGAGAACGGAGATCTCAACCAGTTTCTATCAAAGCATGAGCCTGAGGGACAACTGGCTCTGCTCAGCAATGCACCCACCGTCAGGTACTGCAAAAGACTAGGCAAATGTTGACTTTTTAAAATCATAATATCATTAAATGTATAATGGGGGTGCCATATCACCATATAAAGGTCGTGTGTGAGAGACTTTTTAACAGCACAAACAAGTTTGGTTCAGTCAGTACTTTCTGGTCAGATTGTGGTAAAATAAAGCTCAGACTAAAGTCTTTACAAAGCCTCAGACAGAGCAAAGCCTACATTTAGCATCACATCCCCAAGGAATGTTGATGAAATCAGCTGCAAAGTATCAATACAATTTAAATATAATGTAATGTGGGACAGTATGTTCTTATATTTGTGTCTCTTATTTGCTCCACAGTTTTGAGAACCTGTGCTACATGGCTACTCAGATTGCATCAGGGATGAAGTATCTGTCCTCCTTGAATTTTGTCCATCGCGACCTGGCCACCAGAAACTGTTTGGTGGGAAAGAACTACACCATAAAAATAGCCGATTTTGGCATGAGCCGAAACTTGTACAGCGGGGACTACTACCGCATCCAGGGAAGAGCAGTGCTGCCCATTCGCTGGATGTCCTGGGAGAGCATCCTGCTGGTATTATTACCATTATATTTGTTCTACTATTTTATCACAAAACTCTCAAGACTAAACCTTGACTGATACCAGTGCCTAGCATTGGACTGAATGAGGACAACACTAAGGAAACCACAACTAAATGTGGATTTTATTTAGATTTTTCACTGGAGTTCTCTTTCAAAGTAATCTTGAATTAGTTTATTCAATGTAATTTATTTGTGCTGCAATTATCTTTTAGGCTGCTGCACTAGTCTGTGTACTTTTTGTGCTCACTTTTATCTTGTCCAATAAAACCAACTGGTTCTAAAATGCACCCTTACAGGCCCCTAAACCTTTACCTTTTGTCTTGTGTAGGGAAAGTTCACTACTGCGAGTGATGTGTGGGCATTTGGTGTGACTCTGTGGGAGATTCTGAACTTCTGTAAAGAGCAGCCGTACTCTCAGCTCACAGATGAGCAGGTGATCGAGAACACAGGAGAGTTCTTCAGGGACCAGAAACGACAGGTCAGTGCTACTGTATAGCTGATATGCTGATTTCTTAAACTAATGCCACAGTTTTAACATACATCTATATTTGACAAATATTACCACAATTAATACATTTCTGGGGTGATTAATTAGTGACTAGTACTACAGTACATAATACAGTACATGATAATGTATTTCAAACCCAAGGGTTTCAGCTCCCTGTTATATGCAATCTTTTCAGGACCACTCAAGAGATACTGTATAAATATTTATTATATTCATTATCACTATGACAACTGTTCTGATTTGTCATCATTCTAAAATTTATGAAATGTGTGTATGTTTTATTATCTCTGTTATGCATTTGTTTACACACATTTCATATATATTGTATTTTTGCAATGTAGGAAGCAGTGTTTGAAGTTGTGTTTTGTCTGTGTGTAGATCTACCTGCCCCAGCCGGTCCTGTGTCCAGACGCTCTGTACAGGGTCATGCTCACCTGTTGGAGGAGGAACACCAAAGATCGGCCCTCCTTCCAGGAAATACACCGAGCCCTTTTAGACAAATCATGTTTAACTGAAGAGGATGACAGCGTTTAGGACAGTATTGCCTGTGGATGATCCAGGTTTAAGCTAATAGTTTTCAGTAAAAAGACTCCATTTACAACTTTGAACTGAACATTAAGCTATATGCGTGAATTCAACCAGGAAGACTGTATTTCCTTTTTCTTCTTCCTACCACCTATCACCTGACCTGTTGCTGCCAATCACAACCTCTCATCTGTAAGTCTTTCTCCCTCCACCGCAGCAGCAAAACCATCAGCCTCTTCAGACTACCCTGAATGACTTGCGTATAGTCAATTACACCACAATGAGCAAATGTACAGGACAAAATAAACTTTAAATAGATCTAAAATGTTGAGGAAGCTAAATTAAAATGTAGCAATGACTATACTGCACTTTTTGATTTAATTGTGTGTTTCTGATGTTATATTTTGGAAGACTGCTTGAATGTAGAAAGAGTGCAGAATTTCATCTCAACTTCTCACAAACGGCGCACATCGGCAAACAACATCTGTGACATCGTCTTGCAGTGATTTTATTTTGTATGTGACTGTATTTTTACTAGTAGTAAACTTGTTTATATATATATATATATATATATATATATATATATATATATATATATATATATATGTATATATGTATATGTATATGTGTGTGTATATATATATATATATATATATATATATATATATATAATATATATATATATATATATATATATATATATATGTATATGTATATATATATATTTATAACTGTTCATGTTTGTCTACATCTGCTCTTATAGAAGCAGTTCATGTTTTAATAGTATACTCTTGACCAACTGGCAACATACACATTTGATTGTGTGTGAGTTTAAATAGAAAGATTGTTTTTCTGGTGTATCGTATTTATGTTGCATTTTAAAGGTCTCAAAATGAGTTGAGAGTGATGTCATCATCTAAAGAAAAATACTTTTGGTTTTATATTGTGTGATTTTTTTTTTCATATAGGTAATGTTTTTGACCAATACAGTTTTATATGATTTTTGAGCCATTGCTCTAAAGTGGTTACATGTTTAGTGTTTGTTAGGGATGCACCGATTATGATACTGGATATCGGCACCAAAATAAAAAAGTAGCTGGATCAACTATTGGCTTAAAAATATAAACTGATGTAGGAAGAATATTTTACTGGTCGTAGTTGGCCTGTAAAACTAACAGTGTTTGAATTTTTATTTATCCGAAGTTGTTCTGTGGTTACTTGAGGGATAAATAACAGCTCCATAACACATTTGGATCAGTTTTCTCATTTTACTTTTGTTTAAAGGAATAAATTTAGCTTTTAGTCACTGCACTGGTATTGATTGATATTGGGTATCAGCAGATACTCAAATTCATAATATCGGAATCAGTATTGGAAATGAAAAACTGGATCAGTGCATCCCTAGTGTTTGTAAAAGTGTGAGTGGATTTACAAAGCCAAGGTATTGTGTGAAATGGATGTGTACACATTGTTTATTTGCTTGTACGTTGTCAGGACCAAAATTAAACCTGAGCTGAACTAAGAGTGTATATTTATTTATTTAGAAGGCAGTTTCTGAATATTTTATTAGGCTGACTAAAGCTATGCATTGATTGGTTGGAAACTACACTGTACCGACCAATCATGCTTCAGGGGAGGAGCCAAACATTTCTTCACGACATGATGCCAGTCCATCCATAAACTGGAGATACCTGTTGCTCCTAATCGTGAATAAAAAAATTGAAAAGGGATGGCTAAAGTGGTTTTGGTTACAGGTGCAAATAGGTAATGTTTTTTTTTTTTTCAGTTCATTTTAAGTATATGATTTACTGCCTATACATTTCTACAACCTTTGCATTATTATTGATGAATTGTTGTCTTTACTGTGAGCTTTACTGTGTGTTGGGGAACAGTCTTTATAAAATGTGCTCTATATTGGGTCCATGGATAAAGTCACTATCAACATTATGTCAGCATTAGACTTCTTCTAACATTTAAACATTTTGACTGAGTGTGCTGTAGATGTACTGTTCAGATGTAAATGAATTGTGTTTAACCAGTGAATTTGTCTTTATGGTAATGTTGTTGATGGATTGTATTTTAGAGGACAATAATAATGATGAATTTGATAACTGTACATTTTAGAGGATATTCATAGTAATGAATTGGAGATTAATTGGAGAACTGGATAATGATGAATTTGAAACATTGCATTTATTAGTCTTAATGATTTTTGACTATTTTAAATGTATAATGATGAATTGGATTATGGTTATTTTAAAGAGGCTATTGATGAAATTGCTTTATATAAATAGCCCTTTAATGTCTTTGTACCTGCCCAAGGACTGCAGATGGAAAGTATCGTGTAGCTTAATCTGGTGCAGAGCATCTTTTCTTTCTGAGATTGATGTTTTCTGTGCACTTTCCTTTTTTTAAATAAATAAATACAATAAATCATGTTATTACATAGTGCAGTTGTTGTTCCCACAGTGGTGTTGGCCTGGCCCTGTGTGAGAGATTGCTGGATGAGGGCGTCCACTTATGTTTGGGCTGCAGGAACATGCAGCGAGCCGAGACAGCACGTCTTGCCCTGCTCCGCTCCCACCCATCCGCCGAGGTGGATGTGCTACAGGTGGACACCAGCAGCACCGCTTCTGTGCTTAAGGCAGCACAGGAGTTCAAACTCAGGTGGGACATGAGGAGACACTATCAAGTATCTAAGATGAAGCACTCTAACATGTGCAGCTTGGACATATGTTAATGAATATAACGTTAATTATTGTGCAGGTATAACCGGCTGGACTACCTCTACCTGAATGCAGGAATTATGCCAAACCCACAGTTTGATGTTAAAGCATTTTTTCGAGGTGTACTCACTGGGTATGTTTGTTTTCCTTTTTTCAGTTTTATACAGCCTCACATGCCTGTTTTTGTTGTTTAGATTGTTAAATTTTCATGGATAAATAACATTCAAATCATGAGTCACCTACAAATCATCACTCAGAATAGGAGTTCCAGAAGGTACTATCTCTGATCAGTAAACAATTTATTGGATCATATGAAAATGTTGTTATATTGCAGCCAAGTCATAGGAATGCTGGCTACAGGAGTGGGAATCCTTACACAGAAGGACAGTGTTACTCCTGATGGGTTTCAAGAAGTGTTTGCGACAAACCTCTTTGGTCACTTTCTTTTGGTGAGTCTCAGATTCTCTTCTGTTTTTGCTATTGAGGCAGCGTTTCAAATTTAAAACTTGAAAAAAAAATCAATGATTACTGCCCTTGAAACAGACACAGGATCTGCCCATTGCTTAGCAACATTGGCTCATTAAATATGAATGTGTCAGAGGCTCCTGTCCTGCAGGTCACGTTGCCTCTGAGTGATCTGTGATGGAACCTGATGTTAAATGCTTAAACAACTATAAAATCAGGAACAGTTCCAAGTGGAATAAATTCCTTTGATGACTGATAACATGACTGATATAAAGTATATTGCAACAGAGAAATAACACATTTTAGAAACTCTACTTACTGTTCTATTATGAGCTTTAATGAAAGCTATGTATCTTGTGTGAATAGTTCAGGGAGCTGGAGTCACTGCTCTGTAGTGGTGGGCAGACATCACAGCTGATCTGGACCTCATCGAGTAACGCCCAGCGCTCAGCCTTGTCTCTGGAAGATATCCAGCACAGAGGAGGCTCCCAGCCCTACAGTTCCTCCAAATACGCCTCTGACCTGCTCAGCCTGGCTCTCAACACTCACTACAACCAACAGGTCACAGGCTCTCTAGTCATCTTCTTATCTTCCATTTTATTTGACTAATGTTTATAATGTAATTTTAGGGTCTGTATTCATCTGTGACATGTCCAGGCTTCGTTATGACAAACCTCACTTATAGAGTCTTCCCATCATTCCCAGCTTTTCTCTGGACACTACTGATGCCTGTCTTTTGGCTTGTGAGATGTTATGAGATTTAAACTATATGTTTTTGTGCTGGAATTCAACAACTGACATCATTAACACATTATTGCAGATAAGGCTGTTCACCAACACCTTCACCCTGACACCTCACAATGGAGCTGAGGCTTTGGTAAGCCCTTTTCTAATTTTAGAGAAATTAACAAAGGAAAATTCAAGCCCTTTCAAACTGTATAAAAACATGGCACACCCAATCCCAAATACTGTTACTATAATAGTGTGTTTTATTATATCACAGTATTTAAAACAAAAACTGAAGTAGCCTGCTTTCTCATTTCAGTTTTGGCTGTTTAAACAAAAACCTGAAGCACTGGACCCTTACAGCAAGTACCACAGTTTAACATCGGGGCTTGGGTACACATACACAGAAGCACGGAAAGTAAGAAAGGCAAGATAAAGCAATAAGCAATAAAGGAAAAACACTAATAATGTAAATTTGTCTATTTACAGATGGATATTGACCTGAAAACATCAGAAGCCCTCTATGAAAAATTACTTCAGCTAGAAAGTGAAGTAAAGAGGAAACTTCAGGATCAACAAAGGACATTTAAGGGTCCTGAATTTTCTTTACTAAAATAAAAATGTTATATTAAGTCTGCATGAATAAAACTGATCCAAGAAAGTAACAGTGCTGACTGAGTGGTAATTGGACCGCAAAGGACAATAGTTGCTTGTGCATCTCAGTTATTAAATATGTTTTTATAAAGCATGCATTATGGTCAGCAATTGATATGATAAATGATATATGATAAATATAATAAAAAATTGCTTCCCAGAAGTTTGAGTCTTTTATACTTCCATCAGTCCCTTCAGTTATCTTCAGTCTATGTTATGAGTACCTATTATCATATTGTTTATTCCGTGCTCCTCACAGTAAAATCCACTGCAGGTTGTGATCAGGTTGTCCGTGTCATCCCAAAAGTTTATGTACGTTTCCCTGTATGGAGGCGCTGGCCGATGGGGTGCACATCTGTGAGACTGGTCCCCGAGCTCTGCTTCATCACAGTCCTCTTCTCCATCGCTCAGTTTTGGGTTACAAAAAGCCCAGACCATCCCACAAAAATAGACAAAAAATGTGCCCATTACCATTACCATGAGTGCATAGGACTCTATCATAGCATTAGTGACTGGAGAAGGCATCTGTACTATTTCCCAGTCAGAAGAGGCGAACTCGTCTTACGTATGAAAGGTCCTGAACTGCTGAGTCTGCATTTGTCGAAATTAAATAAGAATTATTAAGATCACAATTGTTATTAGGCTAATATAATACAGTGTATAATATATATATATATATATATATATATATATATATATATATATATATATATATATATGATGATATGATGAATAATAATGAATGAAAATTTTTAAATGTAATAAAAAAAACACACATAAATGAATGGAAATTAAGCTGTCATACTTTTTGTTATATTTGTTAAAGCTGAGGCACCTCATTTTTAAAACAACAAAAGTAGCTCTTACTTTGGCACACACTGCACATACTTTTTTAACCACTAGCTTCAGAGCAGCTTTTTCAAACAGATAAGTTAAACAGGGTGGACCACCCTAGCACAGCCAATCAGCCCTCGTCCCAAAGTATGTAGTGACTCTTTCTACAAGTTTGCACCAGATAAATCCTATAGCCTAAAAATTACATTAGCACAGTGTTTTTTGTTTTGTTTTTTGTTTTTGTATGTTTTCACAAAGTAATGCTTTTGCAATATACTTTTAGGGGAAAAAGTAAAGTGATTTACTTATCATGGGGCTCCAAGTCCCAGTCAAGTCTCGAGTCACTAGTAGGCCTATAGTCAGTTAGTCAGATCAACTCAAGTCTGAAGTCATCAATGCCTTGTCCGACATAGGAAGATTAAGCCCTGATCATAACTTGAGCATTTATTTTTTTAAACACACACATAGTAACTCTAATACTGTGCCTACCACATATATCTTTATACAGTCTATGATACATACTCATTAATGTTGGAATTTGTATGATAATGGATTTTATTGTTTTCAACAAAGTAAACTTAGTTTTTGTTTGGCTAAAATGACCTGGGTGATTCTCTCTGAAATTCTCTTTTCAGCCTGTCAGCTGTTGTGTCAAACTGGCCTTTTAAGGGCACAACGTGTTGTTTAACAACTAAAACAACCATTCACTTAGGCATGCACCTGCTGTTTATCTTAAAGTTGTTATTATTTTTCTCTGGGCTTCCTCACAAAATTCAGTTTGACTTATTACAGAGTTTTTATTAGACTAAAATATACTGACAATATAATTCTACTATTTCAGCCTGAGGGTGATTGGTATGAAAAGTTCAACTTGCAGTGTAGACATTTCCCATGCTGTTCTCTACAACAAACAGTCGACAGTATAGTCTTATGGGTAATGTAGTTTGACACTCGTGTGCCAGCAGTTGTATCCTACTGGGTTTGGCCTCGTAAAGAACTACACGCCCCGCCCGCGCCACAGCCAATGTCCCGGATGTCTATCGCACCGGAAGAGAAGTCAGTCCTTTTCCCAGCCATCTTGTGGCTTCATCTAGCGAAGTGTTCGCACCAAGCCTCGTAGAATCGGAGGAAAATCCTGCTGAAGGGGCGCCATCATGCCCGGACAAATGCAAGAAGGTTTTGGCTGTGCCATAACCAATCGGTACGACCAATTATTTGACGATGAGTCGGATCCATACGAGACGTTGCTGCAGGCCGAGGTCAAGAAGAAGAAGGAGGCTGCTGCTGCTCCTGCCGCCAAGACCGCAGCTCAAGCAGCCAAGCAGCCCAAAAAGGAGTCCCAGAAAGACAGAAAGGCCCCTCTGGCTGACAAGAAGGAAGACACACAAGCCCCCGTCCCACTCAAGAAAGATGGTAACTATGCATTTTACATAAACGCGGTTTAGTCCGTCTGTGGCTGATAGCTTGACAGTGGCTAATGTCTCCACTGCCGCTGGTTTATGCCCCATGACATGAGGACCGCATGGTCTCTTTTGTGCTCAGATCGTTCTCTGGAACAGTCTTTTTACACGGTGTTGTCTTGGCTCTGCAGGACGTACGGCATTTGGTGTTGAGCTTTTTTCAGCCAAACACGTTTTAGCTCGTGCTCCTGCAGGCCTGAGGCGCCTGTCCACAAACCAGTCGGCCTGGTCATTATTTGACTTGTCCTAAGTTCGGATTTCATCTGTCAAGGGATGAATACAAACTAGACCATTTCTAAAACCAATTTGTCCAACTTTTGTGACTTAAGCCGTTTTGCCTCCACACATTAGCCAAAACAAAGGCGTAATCGGTAAATGATTAAATGAATTGTGTGTGTAACAATACGTAAATAGTAAAATGCGTGGATGATTATAAGCCGGTTCAGACCATCACGCAGGTGCGTTTGTCAGCGGGCGCAGCTCGTTGTCTCGTGGAAACGGACCTCGTGGTTTCTACGGGGCGTGTTGTGCACTACCTCATCTCTGCCACTTCCTATTGGCTCACTAGTGTCGTTTTACCACACGTGATTAGTGGGTGCAACGTTGAGTGCTTATTTTGTGTATTTCAATAATTTTCGTAGTTTGTTCGTATGCATAAGATCCGGTTAATTGTCCTGTTGCAGTGTCTGTTGGCTAGTGGGTCATCTCTGCAGAGTGAGAGGAGAGGGGACAGGTGGACAGTCTATAGCAGCGGCAGCTGCTGTTGGGACGGAGTCTATTTTTGTATCTTAGTTGGGCAATGGGTGGAAGCAGTAGTGTCACTCTCGGCCACTGAAATCTCACTAGAGGTCAAAAGTGTAAACAGAATGTTGTGAGCCATAATATTAATGCATTTGATTTTACAAATAGCTTTTTTGGACTTTCAAAAACTCTTGAAGGTTTTTTCCACATTGTCATAATCAACATGCCTCATACAGACACTAAAATCATCTGTTCATTATACTGATACTTAGTTTATCAGATTTTGACTTATCTTGTTTATGTGTCACTTGCAGGAGCTGGCATGAGGAGAATGGGCCGTAAGCCTGAAGGCGAAGGCTCCAGGCCTCAGGGCCAAAATGAGGGCCGTCCTCCCACAGACAGAAGGCCGCCGACCGAGAGGCGACCACCACGCCGCTTTGAGAAACCTGCCGGAGAGGGAGGAGAGAAGCCTGAGGGAGGTGATTTCTCTGTGGAAAAGTGAGTTTACTGAGTGTTCCAAACTACTGCTATGTTATGTATAGGCCTTTCCAAAAGGGGGCTTTTATTATTCATATGTCAGAATTGTGTTATTGATCTCAGTGTTGCTTTGTCTAGACCTGCGGGTGACCGGCCAATGAGAGGACGTGGAGGTGGCAGAGGCGGACGTGGGGGAAGAGGGCGTGGCATGGGCCGTGGTGATGGCTTTGATTCTCGAGGAAAACGTGAATTTGATCGTCACAGTGGCAGCGACCGATCGTAAGTCTTCCTGCTATATTTGATTGACTTAATACTTGATATATTGGTAAGCGTTTCTGTGCTATGCCTTGACTAAAGCAAATGTTGTTTCAGTAGTCTGAAAGGTGAGGAAAAGCGTGGGGGAAGTGGCTCTCACAACTGGGGCACTGTCAAGGATGAACTAAAGTAAGTTTCTTCTCTACAAAAGAGTGCTGTGTATGTATATGTGTAGTTTAAAGACTGACTCCTCCTTTCTGCAGTGAGCTCGACCAATCAAACCTGACCGAGGAAAACCCTGAGGGAGAGGAGCACCCACCTGCCGACTCTGAGAACAAGTAAATCTATGACATGTCTCCAAGTGAAAAGCACCTGATGGAACGATATGTGGTGTTGACGCACAGCTTGTTTTCCTTGCATTTATTGAAGGGAGAATGAGGCAGAGGAGGTGAAGGAGGAAGGCCCTAAGGAGATGACTCTGGACGAATGGAAAGCAATGCAGGACAAAGACCGCGCCAAAGTGGACTTCAACATCCGCAAGGCTAACGAAGGAGCCGACTGGAACAAGGGCTTTGTGCTGCACAAGTCCAAAGCTGATGTGAGTCCAGCATGAGTCCACACAACAGACAAATTTGCCTTTTCATATCAAATCCATGGTTCAGTGTTTTTTTCTTTTTTTTTTTTTTTCTTTTACAGAACAAGAAGGAAGATCTGATTGAGCATGAAGGTGATGATAAGGTATGTTTTGTGACCAGTTTTAGTATTACACATAATATATTTTTGTATGGTTTAACTTACTACTTAATTATAATCTTAGATTGAGGATGAACACCACTTTAGAAAACCAGCCAATGACATCACGTCCAAGCTGGAGATTAACTTTGGAGACCTGGGACGTCCTGGTCGCGGCCGTGGAGGACCTCGTGGAGGCAGAGGCGGGAGGGGCCGTGGGGAAGCAACCAGGCCGGTCCGTGGAGGAAGGCCTGACAGGGTAAATTCTTTGTGGAATGTCTTTTTTTTTATTATCATATGACCAGAGCTTTTCTGGTTATTTGTTTTTACTTTATTAAAAAACAAAAAAATGTTAATATATTTTTTTTTTTCCACCCAGTCGTCTACTTCTGTGCCCAACGTGGACGACCCTGAGGCCTTCCCAGCCCTGGGTTAGGCCTCCCACAGGAGCCTGAGCACCTCCACTACGAGGCTTGCATGATCCTGGATCCTTCAGCAGAGTGAAATGATGGATAAGACTGTCATTAACTGTGGCACTCAATGTGAGAACTGAGTTTTACGTAATAAAAACAAAACGAAGATGGAAAAAACAGAAATTACAAAAAAAGTCAAAAAAGAAAAGGACTTCTTGCTACTCGGGAGCAGCTTTATTGGTAGAGGTTTTGTACTTGGAAACAAAGTAGCAGGGATGTTTTCATACAGTGTTCTTTTCAGAGGTTATGCATTGTCCATTGATGAATTTTTGTAATTGCTGCTTGAAAATATGCATTTGAAATGTAAGAGTATTTTAAGCTGGGTGTGTGCCATTGCTTTCTTGCTTTACAGTAGGCTCAGCCACACCAGGTGTTTCACTCAATGAGATTTATGGATTTTCTTTCTTTAGCACTGGGAATATTGTTTTATATTTTGTACAGGAGGTCTATTCTTCTATGATCTTCGTCCTGTAAATTGAACTATTTTCATAAATTTAGACTATTTCACATGGTGCAAAATGGGACTAACTTTGGTCTCTGACCAGATGTTGCCTCCTTCTCGATATACTGCTGAAATGGCTCTGTATTTTGGGGATTTTCTATGGAAGTGTTCATTGAGAACTTTAGGTCATTTTTCAGGATTATGAGGTCATAACTAAATTTGTATTGATCCTGAGCACTGTCTGATGGATCATCTCAATGTTTGGGCTCCCATGTCCTCTTTCGGTGACATTGCGGGTGATAATTTGCCCAGCTCCTCATGAGTGTAAGCCAAGTGCAGGCAACTGCCTTGTCTTTTCCTAAATGAAAATTGCTGGTGATGTCATTTCATTGGCTCTTTCCAGACTTGTACACACTCCACTCTGTATTTGGGCTCAGCTCCTTTGTGCTGCTGCGGTCTTTTTGCTGGCGTTTTCTCATTACTTTTACATAGCCCTGTGGCCCTCTGCATAATCACTCTGAAAGAAGTGCAGTTCATTGTGTGAAACAGCTCAAGACTTGACATTTGTGTGAATCTAACCCTGCTATTGGAGACCTCTGTCGGTAAATAAAGGTGGTCGATATATTTTTTGCACTGTGACTTTTCTGTATTGTCCAAGTGTTTTATTTTCACAAAAAGTATTCTTAACTCTAGAGCAGACCTGGGCCAGTTGCTTATAATCTGGCCCCCACAAGTCTGATAATTATAATTTAGTAATAACAGTAGCCAACAACTCTCCACCACTGATCTAGAATCACTAGGTTGAATCATATCTTTGTTTGCTTTAAAGGACCTCAAACAATCGAGAGTATGCTTTTGTTTCAATCACCAGTAAGTGTTATAGCAATTAAATCCTCAAGGCTAAAATTTTCATTTTACATGAAAGAAAATTGGTCTTAGTTTTGGCGCACAGAATATTTTCACTTCATATTTTCAGATGCTAAACAAATCTGCATGTGGCTTTTCTCAATGAAACCAAAACATTTGACATACAGTATTCTTAATTGTTAGATTTATTAAAATGGAGACCAAAATGGCAAGTACTGTCACATTGCAAATGTATTTAAAGTGTTAAAAGCAATACTTATTAACTGAGTTTTCTGTAGAAACTGCACTCAACGCTTAACAAAATGGCAGAAGCAGTCCTTATTCATGGAAACTTTGAGGTAGTTAGTTAATTAACAAAGATACAGCCCCAGAATATGTTAATACTAAATAAAATCACAGATAATCGCCTGCTTACTATGTGGTCCTATAATTAACAAAGCATGCGTTCTTGCACCTTTCTAATGGAAATGGAAAAAGCAGGAATTTAAGCGATGGTAGATTGTTGGGCCACCACGCTAACCTAATCTTTGTTCCAGATCCAGTCTACTTTCTTCACTTGTTGTCAACAGTGCGTTTTTTTTTGTTTCCTTGGACCACTTTGGAGTAGATGACTGACATGTAGAACTGAAATGATTGGCAACACTCCACAAATGCTGTAGATTGAGATATGTTCGGACCAAGTTGTCTAACAATTCACAGCTTTCTGCTAAAATCTTTGCTCTGTATAATTAATATCGCCACAATCGCCCCAACATAAGCAAGAGCTAATAATTATTAATTTACTTGACTGTGAATGACAAGCTAAGCATTGCTCTTAACAGTCTGGTCATTTAACATTACATTATTGGAGAAAGAAATCACTTCCATCAATCTTCACAGCATCAAGAGTCAACTTTGGTCCAAGATCAAGTTGTTCTGGGAAGAAACTGTGACTTGGAAAGAAGGTGGGTAAATCCTCCTCCTCCTCCTCAGACATGCCTGCTGTGTCGTGAGGGGAGATGTAGTCCACTGTCTCATTTGTGCCCAGGGAGGACGTGTGAGTTTGTCCCGAACTGTCCGAATCGTGGGAGAAGCACTTGATATAGGTAATGTGAGGGTACGGCTGCGTAGCAGTCTCTGAATCTGAGCTCAAACTGATCTGGGGCAACAGCGGTGGACGGGGCAGCTCCTGGATGTCCACCAAAACAAGGTCCTCCTCCGTCTCGCTCACTGTGGAGATGCTGATTTGATGATGGAGATTCACTTTGGCCTGTACAGACAAAAGCAAGGTAACAGTATTGTCCACTTCTTTTAAATAAATAGTATAAATTTGGATCTTTCCTGAATTAACCACATATTGTTTTATTTTGACAATTGCATTAGGCCTATACAATGTGGTATTGAAAATTCTGCCTTTTCCATTTTTTGTGTTGCAACAAGGCAATTTAGTGTGAATAACTTAATAATGTAAAATAGCATTTTCATCTGTTCAGGAGATGACCTCATGTAATTATTATTTTTTTATTACTTAAGGTAGAATTAAACAAGTATCAAGGCACAATTTAGCATAACAATTTCGAGCTTTAACTTACACACTTTAGTAGACAGTGTGTAATAATGTAATGAGTAAATGTATTATGCATTTTGGATCTGCACCACTGTACCGTGTTATATTACTTAGCAAACGTTTGATATTGGACACCCTGACTCCATATTTTTGAGGTTTTGAAGTCAGCTGTAACTAACTAATGAACAAACAACAAACCAAGAAAAATACTATATTTTAGTTTCAAGAATTAGTATCAAATGTTTAAGTTTATGATTATGTTTATGTCTAAATATATTAATGTGTATATATTGTCATTTTGATACCTTTTCTTTTAAACAATCTTTTGCCCATTTACTGTTTGCAGGGTCAGGAATATCAGGCATGCAATACTGAAAATACACCCAAATCCTGAAAGAGAAATTTCAAAAATATCTGATTAGGACACGTTTGTTTATATTATGTTTTTGGTTATTTTCTCTTGTTTATAAGTGTTTAAGGATTCATTTATACCTTTCCTTTACAGCTGAAAATTGGTACACACAGATTAAAACCCCCACCAAAGTAATCAGGACACTAAATGTGATGATAAGAGCCAAGGGTGGATCTTCTGTAAAAGTAGAACACAGGTACGTGACATTGTACAGTATTGACATATGGTATTTACAGATCATAGTTAATCATATTTAACTCCTTACGTTGGATGAAAAAGTTGACTTTTTGACCTGGTGGTCCTTCTCCTTTCGCAGTGGAAATGCTCATCCAAATCCTGTAGTCCGCTGGAGTCAGATCTCTTAAAACCCAAAATCTCTGTGATGGTGATACATTATCTAAAACAAGAAAATGTGCAATATCTTGTAATTTATAACATTAAAAACAATTACAACCACTAAAAATGTATTTTCCTGATAGTTCACTGTCTGACTTAATGCCATAACTTCTAACATCAGCTGTTCCTCTCTCTCTCCATGGTCCATTCAATGTCTACAGACCAAAGTTGACGGTTAGATCCCCATTTCCAACCATTGTTGTTGTTGTGCTATAAGACGATTTTTGCCTCCAGTGTCAGTATGTACTAGTATATGGTTATGGAGTGAATGGGTGTGTATGTTCATTCTTGTAAAAGTGCTCTGAACCCTGTAGACTTGACCTTTTACTATGTTATATTGTCGATACTGACAAGTGTGGCTCAAATAATGATAAACACCTTTAATACCCTTAATATTTTGGCTAAGCGTCACTGCTATGCTAAGATTGTTAATTCTACCACTGTCTTGCACATAATCTATTAATATTCCCCATTAAAATCCTATTAATTGTAAAATGTTGTCTTACAGGAGGCAAAAAATCTGTTGTTTTTCTCTAAGTAAATTATGTATTTGATGATGCAGCCTCCGGGTTCTTCCATAGAAAGCCAGGTCACATTGACTGTAGTTCCCACCACCTTTTCAATAACAACAGGCCCAGATGTGGGGACTGAAAATAACATTAAAAATTAAGAATTTGTGAATAATCTTAAAGAACCAAAACATTTATATAATTTCAGTATAACCAGTACTGCCCTTACCTGAAACGTCTGTGTTGATATCAGTAAACTCCAGTCGATCCACTGAGTTGTCACTATAAAAAACATACACTGCTCCTTCATAGCACACGAATGGCTCCATATCTGCAAAAAAATATGTTATTTAGTTTTACATCTTGCTATTCAAACAACTAAAACCATTACACGAGGGGCCGCAAGAGATCAGTAAATAATCAGTTTGTTTCATTATAAACATATTTATCCTGCCTATCATCACCCTAACCTCTCCATCACTATATAGTAACAATGACAAAATTTCGGACACAGCCACTGAAACAAAGCTTCTGTGAGCAACCTAATTATTGAGCCAGGACTTTAAGAGAGCAATTAAACCCAGTAATGTCAAATTATTTGTACATAGTGCCACCAGTTCACTTTTTGTTCAGCTATGTGTGGACTAACTAAAAAAAGGGGTAAATCTGGTCCAAAATAGGACTAAACCAAGTCTTAAACACAACTGCTGAGGACCACTAACACAAACAAGGTCAAATTGGGAGTACATTATTTGACATACAGGATATAAAATAGAACACATTTATTTATTTATTATATTTTACATCTCACCTGTGATAACAACATGGCTGCTGTTCTGGCCCATCCTGAGCCATCGGAGTGCCTTCGGTTTCTGGTATTTGGCAAACCATTCTACCACATATTCGAGGGGAAGGGGTGCAGTTACATGTTGGGTCCAGGAGATGGCGACATTTTTATTGTTTATTACAGGCACAAGAGTGGCCTTGGCTGAACAGAGGATTAGTACATTAGTACATGGAACATAGAACCACAGATTTTTAAAAATTGAATATTTACCTTTGACAGTGTGGATGGTGATATTACCAGGAGGAGAGCGCCCCCTGGAGTTGCGGGCACTCACTGTTACATGACAATTTAAACATAACTGCACTAGATGACTTTGGTTATTTGAGTTGGCTGTTTGGGTTGATATTATATTATAGTTTCGGTCGTAGACTGTGATAATGTAATCCAAGATCTTTCCTTGAGCAACAGAGGTGTCTAGTTTCTGTAAAAAAAAAAATAAAACAATTAACCAAAGCTATAGTTACCTGAGTGTATTTAACATATGTTATTTTTTGTTGACCTAGTACCATAATAGTAGCAGAAGCAATTTCAGGAGCTGGCAACAGAATAATATTGGTAGCCTATTAGTACAATATGACCTATATTTGAAGTAGCTGCATCTTGGTGTACTACAGCATTCTGTACTTTTACACCCACAACTTATAGAATGAATATTATATAGTAGATACATTTGTCTTTATCTCTGCTCTGTGCATGTATTTTCTATGCAGCCCAGCTTTTCTTATAAAGTGAAACCTGTGTTGGGTTTCAGTTACTCCTAAGAACTCGAGTTTAAAGCAGTGTGCATATGTGTGAATGTGGTCAGATGTGCAAAAGTGGTGTGTGTGCTTCACTCGCACGCCTCAGAAGTGGTCAAACCGATGACCTTTACTTTAAAGCGAATGCAGACTGAGTAAATAAAGAAGTGAAAGTGCTACTGCAAAAAAACATATAGAGCTCATATAAGTTACCAGTGACGCATGATTGAATAAATGTATATAACATACCTTCCAGTAGACTCTTATCTTGTTGTGATCTACAGCATACCACACATCCAGGGCACATCCAGGAGCTAAAGACATACATCTTTGTAAGTTTATATAAGCAGAAAAATACAAACACCCCCGGCCCCTGCTAAGTGTTTCCTTTGCTACAGTTTGGACACAGAACAGCAACACGTAAAACTACTTACGATAGTTGCACAAATTATTTCTCTCTAATCTGACAATAAATCAAACTTTCTTGTAACTTAGGCAAGCATTTTACTCCTTCGGAATGAATGGAATGCATGAGAAACATCAAATAGAAAAGCCTCAACTTCCACATATTGGTTTATGGCTTAATGTTTTTTATCACATGTTAGATTTCACTTCTTGCTGTGAAGGTTATTTGAGGCCACTTCCTTATTGATGAGTATTATATAAAACAACAAAATGCTTGTTTATCTATTTGACTGAAGTTAGGTACCTTCTAGAGGGTTTTTGCACAGTAGACTTATCTTCACACTATCAGATAAAGAATGCTGTGTTGTTTTTTTCCTTTTTTGCACTCATACACTAAGAAATTGTTTGACTAATTTCATTACATTAATTTACGTAACTTTTATTTTACTAAAATCAACCCACAGTGCCCATTGACTGTTTCAGTGGCCAGTAATATACAATTGATAGGAAAAAGATTGTAAACATACTGTCCCACATCCCGTCATCACGTCACTGTGCGCACAACAACAATATCAGGAAGCTCAACAGAGTAATATGGCAGTTAGCCATATGTGTCACATCCTATTTCTGTTAAACCTCTTCAAGCCTAAAAGATGTTATGGTGTCTCTTGTTTACTACTATAATACTTTACCTTCTTCTTGAGTCCATTTAGAGACAGTTCTGCTCCAGTCACTCCACAGTCCCGTGGTGAGCCTAGACCTGGCTCTGAAGCTGTACCATCTGTAGGGCTGCAGCGACTGGACAAGGACTGAACCGTTGGTCAGAACCTGAAAATAATAACATAAAATAAGACTTTTATCAGCCTCATAGCATACTGCCTAAATCATTTTTGGCCAAATTGTCTCATTCTACTCTCCAGACCCTGCTGCATCTTTAGATTCATTGGCTTTATTTGGCCAATAAGAAAAAAAAATGTACAGCCAAAAACACTAGCTGTCTAATCTCGTTCATTGAATTGATGAGGATGAGACCTATCACAGATCTGACCTGTAACTTGCACTGATGGTATCATTTGCTTGCCTCCATGGAGATTGATAATGTAGTACTATGTAACATTAGGGAGGTAAGGTGATAGCACCTCTAAATAGACAAGCAGGTGGAAAACTCTTCATCACAATGTGCACCTTTAAAAAATCTGAAAGGAAAACAACATTTACAAAACTCTACTGTACTAATCTTCACATGTTGGAATGGTAGGATGGCATCTACATACATACATCTCACTCCCTTTCCAGGAACCAGTGTCATTTTGTGTATAAGTAATAGTATGTGTTTTAATACATATACGCTGTATAAAGTGAAACATGTAGACATTTCTTTTTATTCTGCATAAACTCAAAATAAAAATAATGCATTAGTCAAAAAACTTAACTTCACTTTTACTTAAAATTTCAAACAATTCACTTTTACACAGCAGTGGGTCTAGTCATTTCTGCCTTTGGATTTGATTCAGTGAGTCCACAGTGTGTTTATGAGTAAGCAGCAGGTAAATGTCAAACTAATTATGCATGAACTTTTCCTGAACTTAGGTACTTACCGATTTTGGATGAGGTGTCCACTGCTCTTTATTTTCTTCTTTGTAATTAATGTCCAGGTGATGGGTAGGGACAGACTGCTTAATTTTGATGGAACAGTTTCTAGAAAAACAGTCAACTTCATGCAGCTCTGGGGCAGGGGGCATCACTGGTCACATGAATAAATAAAACAGGAGTGAAAATATATTACACAAAACATTATTAGCCCCCAAAACAATCATATTAAGAATGCCTATACTCTCAAAGGATTGCTGAGGTAATGGTACAGTAGAAGTTTCATTTTTAATTACAGAAGTATAAGGTTCTGAGTTGATGATTCATTCATGCATGCAGAAGTTTCTTCAAGGCTTACAAATGAGAGGTGCATTATGGGTACTTACTTATGTCCCTCAAAATGTATTTGACTTCAGGGGTTTCTGCAGACCCCAGCTTGTTTGTAACATTGGCCCGAACTGAGATGACCTGGACTGAACCATCCACAGTAAAGTTTGCCCTCACAGTAGGACTTCCCTTCGCAGGGAAAACGAAAGACCCCAATTCTCCTGTTGCATTATGGGTAAAAGTCCTTACCCTGTAACATAGATTAGATTATGTTCTTGAGTCAGACCGTTACCAGTTATACTAATGGCCTTGCAATTCTATTTTAATTTTTGCTTTGAGATGGGGTAAAAACTTTGACATTAAACATATAACATATAAACATGTAATTTAAAATAGATTCCTGGCCCACAGGCTTTACTTGACTGGACAACACAGTGCAATACAATGAAGAGTGGGAAGAAACATTCACCAAACTGTTGGAGTTAGAACCTGCAAAGCCCCCATATCTGTAACACCCCCCACCCCACTCAGGCTTACATATGTGCACAACAACAAAAAATCTATAAAAAACTTAAACATATGCTAGAAATACTAAAGTAATACCATACCGTAATTTTGTGTCGTTAATTATGAATGTATTCCTTCCACTGGCCCAAGAGCAGACGACAGCAGAGGATGTTTCAGAAATGTGGTAAACGCATGACACATTGGTGGGCCGATCTGGTGGAACTGTGATAACACAAAAGTGGTAAAAAGTGGTTACTGCCTGGTTATGTGTCAAATGAAAGTGCAAGTCCAAGCATCTATTTTTGCATGCACAGCGTTTGGGAAAGGGTGTATATGACAAGTTTATTTTAGAGTGCAGATAGGACATGTTACAATGGACTGTTTAGTAAAATAGAAAGAGAAAGCAGAACTACTAATATACTACTAAATGTCCTTATGTGGTTATACCAATAGTTAGAAACAGAAGCAAGCTGTTTTATTAGAATGGCAGCTTCATTCATTCATTAGTCAATTCTGCAGTTGGGTGGAGCTATTACAGTAACTTTGACCATCTGAAACTTATACACTTGTTTATTCTCACATGTAATACTAATAAAACTAATAATTCTTTATTTAGTGGGTTGGTAGAAATATTTGTGGCATATATTATTATTATTATTTTTAATTATTATTATTATTTTTTTATTATTATTATTATACTTGGCACTAACACATTTACAAAGAACTAATAAGACCCCTCTTCAGTACATCCTAGTCACTTTACACTTGAAACACACCTCCCCCTTTCCTTAGCATATCTGAAGTGGAAACCTGCAGCAGTCCCATCAAATAAGGTGTGTTTAGACCTTGTGTTGTGTGTTTGCTACTCACATCCTGCAAAAATGTCCAGCCCACAGGAATCTAGCTTATTCCCAGTGTTTCTGTTGCTGCCTTTACAGTCACAGCTGAAGGTGCAGTCCTCTGTCACATTGACCACATCCAGGTAAATGGTGGTGGAGTTATGTTTTTGGTGGGTCTGAGGTCTTGGGGCAGAGTGCCCACTGGCGCTGTACATAGAAGGTGTGCACTCCAAGTTAAAGGCACAATAAACCCGAAATGTGGAGGTTATTTGCACCTCATTGCCAGCGGTGGACCAGATATGACAGGATTTGGCACCTAAATGAGAAAACAACTGTATATGTTAAAGGTCCTCTATTATGCAAAACTGACTTCTGTGAGTTTTATGCCATGTTAGAATGCAGTTACATCCTCAATAATATAACTGAAGTTGTGTTTTGCTTCATTCACACATATTTGAGTAATCCTTTATTATGAGTCTGTCTGCATCTCCAAAGCTCAAAATGCTCTACTACACTTTGTGATGTAATGAAGCAGTAGTTTTCAAGTTAACAGTTATCTTTTATCTTTTGTTCAGTAAAAATAAGCATTTCCAGGGTTGAAATGATCCAAATGATTCTAGTGAAGGTGTATGGAGCTTAAAATCACAATAGAGTGTGCACCATTTGTGTGAGAATTTTGTATGTGAGAATGAAACAAAACTCCAGGTATGTTTCTGACATACATAGATCACCTTTAGAAACCTTTAGTAACGCTGTAACTGAGAGCTCTGGGGTACAGATCTTAATTATTGTACTTGTATTGTTGTTCTATGATTATGTCAGTCCCAACAACAAAAATGTTGAAAAGTTACTAGTCTAGGAAGGGCATCTAGTATAAAGTAATGCCAAATCCATATGCAAAACGTTCACTGATGTTTTTGAAACCACTGATGTAGAAGACAACTTTTTGATTGTTATAAATAAAGGACAGACACACATCCAGCACTAAGAAACCACCAACCAAACTTTGATGAAGTAGTGAGCCAAAATTACAATGTTACAAATAAAAGACAATTAGTAATCATAAAACAATTATTAAAACACGGTTAACAAAGAATATTCAACCAAAGGCAAAAAAGATGAAGTAAACTCCTACCTTTGCATGTTTGAAGTAACAACAGAAGCGCGGTGAGGACGAACCATGGGAACTTCATTGTCCTCATCCCTCGCCAACAACTGTCTCCTTATGCTCTGTTCACATGGCCACTTGAGCTGCATGTAAATTACACAAAGTTATCAAATGTTGCATACTATGGGGCGTCGCTATGTAGACACATCATCAGTGGGTCAAATAAATTCTACTTAAACGCAATGGTGTCAAGACGCACGAAATGTTAGTTAGTTCACGTGGTTGTGAGAATGAGATTAAGTCGAAATTAAATGTAAAATACTCACGAGCCATCCCCAGAACATGTTTAAGTTGTCCTTAAGATATGAATAAACTGCTGTCCGTCATCGTATTAGCCACAGTTCATGCTAAAAACGAACTGTTTGTCCATTACTGGAGTCAGTGACGGTAGTGCCGCCTCCGCACTTTGACACGCGCTTTAACATAAGAGGCAGGCTCAAGGAGGAAAACCACAGCAGCCAATGTGAGCCCATCTACTGTAGATCAGACCTGATATCTGATCAGAAGAAGTGATGAGAGGTTTAGGCGCCGTAGCTGATTCATAAACACAAATATAGGTCATTTAATAGCTAGGTTAAGTCTAGACAGCAGAGGCGAGATCATAACTACATACATTTCTGAAGCTGTAGTCCTGTAAAAAGTAAGTAATACATAAAAGTAATTTCAAGAATGTTTAGTTCTTATGCTATAAAGGTGCACAAGGCAACTTGCTTTTCTCCATGGAGATGCTATGTTCCACATTAGGGCATTAAACATATTGCCCATAAGAGGTAACTGTAGACCAAGATACAGGCCAGCTCTGTGGAGAGGCAGAGCTACGCTCACATGCACACCCTGAGAATTTTGTTTTGTTTCCCAAGGTATTTTTGAACAATAAAACACCTGTATACAGAATAACGTCTCCATGGAGATGACTGCAGGTGAAAGCAGCAGAAAAGTTATATAGAGCATAGTTTTAGCTCATTTTTGAAGTTTGGTTTAATTTCATCATTTTATTCAAACATGTATCAACAGGGGCACAGGTGGTTAAATCATTTGAAACATTTCTCATCAGTTCAAACAGTTCTCAGAGATCTATTTTTAAATTAAATTTTTACAAAATACAGTGCAGCTTTCCCAGCCCCAAATTCATATATGTAAAATCTGAACCCAAAGGCAGACGACATAAACCAGTGATTTGAGGTTACTGAGAGAAGGACTTCTAAGATGCAATGCCAAATGAATGAAAGAGCAGAAAGAAAGAACAGAAAACACATGAGCAAAGTTTGAGAGCTTTGATGGTAAAACTTACTTTTGGGAAATGACTGTAAAACTGTATTTTGCTGAGATTACATTTTGTTCTGAATAACAAAAATTCTGTTTAGGATTTAGTGTGAGCTGCTTTGCAAATGTAAATGTTATATAGAGAAGTGTGTCAAAGTGACTGAACAGGAGCGAGGAGACAAGTTGGAGGCCAGGAGGAGGGGATAGACAGTGAGTTGGGACACCACTGCTGGCCCACTGCCAGGAGGGTACTGCAGTTCAGGGTCGAAACACCCAGTGATCAGTGGGTACCGCCTGACCACATCATCTCTAAAAGGCTACTGTCACTGCAGGTGAAAGGAATATATAAACATTACCTGATGTACTCATATTCAAGGATTGGTGTATTTTAGGGTTTCACATTGACTACTGTATAGTCCATTAGCCCATTTGCCCCACTCCACATATATTTCAGTGTACTCCCCATACTACTAGCTAATGAAAAAGGAAGTGAGACATTTTTTCTCACAAGCTGTTGAGCAGGAGCCAAAATAACATTCACACTTGGCATCAGCACTGAAGGGTTTTTGAGGGACTTCCCCTTAGTTTGATCTGGGTGTGACCTTACTTTTATTTGCTTCAGTTCATTCTGAAAAGATACTGAGGGAGGTACTGTCTTAATTTGAATACAGGTTCAGGTCAATAAAGCAAAATGGTAAAATCTGGTTTAATGCAATAATAGGCAGCAGTCAACCATTAGTACAGAAACATTCAGGCGTTAATTATCATAATTTATTCATAAAATGTGATAGGTCAAAGAAAATACCACTGCAGATTAAAGACCCAAAAGAAAAGTTATTTTACAGTTTAAGTTAAGGTTTGTTGTCTACATTATCAAAGTGACTTCTGCATTACTGTCAAATGGTCAGAAGCATTGGGGTGATACCCAGGGGTGGTCCTAGGCATGGGCGAACAGGGCAGTCGCTCGGGGCAGCATCTCTCAATACAGTTACAGTTGCAGTTAGTTACAGTTAATAGTCTCAACATACTAAAATGAAAGTAATGCTTTTACTTTGCATGTATTCCCCACAGTAGTGCAATAATGATTCTGTTGATTCCATTGTGTGATATGCAGGTCTTATATAGGACAGGTTATTTGGGGGAAATAGCCACTAGCCAGTGCTCCATCAGTGTTATCAAAAAAATCAACTAGTGGTATATCTGAGCTCTCTTTACTCAGTTCTATGAGCAGCGAGTCTGGTTTGGAGTCCGTTTTGTCTGTGATTTTTTCCATTGTAACAACAGTCATGTCATCAGTTTTAAACCATGAGGGACAGTGCACAGTATCCAGAAATTGTGAGGCATTCAAGTCCACTTGTACATGGGACAATAATCCTTCAAAATGATGTAAAGATGTGCTTTGTTCTTCATTATCCTTAACCTCCTCAACCTCCTCCTCTTTTGGAGGAAAGGGGACAGCAGGTCTTTGTGGTTTATAGATGCCAGGATCCAGAATAATGCTTGGATTATAATTTGGAGATTCTGTTGGTTCCGTCTCCACATGGACAAAAGGGTACAGTTCCTCCCTCTCATCCTGAGACAGAAAACTAATAGGGGACATGGGTGGGTCGCTGAATGACGAAAATAAGGACGGCTCACTCCTGTCCAACTGCAAAGAGAAAAACAAGCATGTATTAATTGATTATTGTTTGATACATTGAAAAAAAAAGTGATGTGCCTTAAAAAAAACTCCAGTACTGTTTCTGGAGATTTTACATGCTGTAGAACTCCTTAATATCTATTATTTTCTTATTCCAAAAGTGACCTAGTGAAAACTACTCATAATCCAGATCACTGAAATTCAAATAAAATATATATTCAAGTTATTTTAATCCATGCAGACAAATGTTTTTTGCAGTGAAACAAACTAGGAACAATTTGAGGCTGATGTAGTGAAATAAAATAAATAAAATGATTTGGAAAGCCTCCAATAAAGAAGTTTCACCCCTAAGAGTTTGATAGCTTTGCTGTTTTCCACATTTGGCAGGTTGTCCCCAAGACACTCTGGGCCCCATGCAATGCACTTCTGTTTAATCCTAGAAAGAAGAAAGCATAAGATCAGAGCTTGGTTAGATTTAATATGCAAATACAGACCTACATGTTATTGATGGATATTTATTTATTATGATTTAAATATAATAATAACTGTTCACTGTGAATATACTGTACATAAGCAATAAGATTAATATTCTTCTTCTATTCTGTTCTGTTATTCTATTCTCTTTTTCCCTGTATCCATACATAGACATGAATGGCAGTTAGAGTTACTTCAATAGAGGCTTCACTTCTCATTAATTGTGTGGTTTTTGGTTTGGTGGTGGCTCGACCTTTTATGCTCACCACAGTGCATCCTCGTGCTGTTACGAGTAAATCAAAACCCATCCACATTCAGAATTATCACTCATATTTAGTTACCTTTTCCGCACACATTTCCAGCACATCAGGTTAATTAATATGGCAATGAAGAAGATGATGATAAAGACAATGACAATCACAAAGCCAACTAGAAAAAACAAAAAAGAGGAGGGATTGGTTAATGAAAACTAAAAAAAGCATATTTTGAGAATGGTTATTTAAAAATGAGACTGAAAACAGTAATGAGTCTGCGGCCTCAGTGGTACTTCCACACTTAGTTATGCTTTTTTGTTATTTTGAGCATGTGAAGTTCAAGTAAACTGTTGGATTGTGAGAAATAAACTGTTTTTCCTGTATCCATGGAGAGGGCTAGCTACAGAGCTAGATATGAACATTTGAGATGCTGCATGCTTTTTACATCATATGTGGCAAATGTGGCAGAAGACCTTCAGAAATACTCTGAGGGAATGAACAACTTAATCACCAACAGAAACACAGAAGAGGGACATTATTGACTCTTCTTTTCCTCAAACTGCCCTGATATAGGATCGGCAGACCCTAACTGACCAGTCCTTATTCACATACACACATATATACATATTCAAATATTTATTATTCTTATTCCCTTGTTTTATTTTATGTTTTTAATCAAGAAAAAAATATAAAATGTGATAGTAGTAACCTGAGGGAGCAGGGGGATGGGAGGTGATGAAGTTGCCCTGTGGCCCCTCTCCAGCTGCAGTGGAAGCAGACATCTGCAGAGCCAGGGTCCCCTCGGGACAGGCCAACCAGCACTGTCTGGGTCCTGAGGCTGGTACAGACACTGTGAAAAACAAAGGGCAAAACTATAGGGAATATACCACACAATATACAGAACTGTGAGTGTACTTTTTCACACCCACACAAACACCTGTGTGGTGTTTTTGGGGAATGGTGACTAGAACGAGGTGTGAGAAAATGTGCAGCAATATTGAAGTTCATTGAGGTTGGCATGAATTTACCAGTCTGTCTGTTTTGAAGTTACTGGTCAGGTCTGATAACTGTGTGTGTGAGTTTAGAGAATTTACATATATTAAAAAAAATGCCACGGAAAAGATATTAAGATTGAAGTTAAAGGGGGAATCTACACAGATTCAGTAGTTATGCCAATTGAAACTCTGTTTGAAGAAAAAACAACAACATTGTTTCATCAAACAAATTAATAAAAGAGTCCTGTCCTCTTTGTGAAAACTGTTTTTGGAAAGAAAAACGTATATGAAGTGAAGTTATGTCCAGTAGTGTGAAGATTGCCTCTTTTACAGCTGTGGCATCATACTGTGGCACACACTGTTTCCCTCTTGAGCCTCTGCTGCATGTTGCATGTGTGCACTAAGCCACGCTTCCTGTTCACAGTTTGGGTACAGCCACTTCTCAAATACTTTATGATTCACTCCAAAGAAACATCATCCATCTGCTATATGTTCAAGCTAACTATTTTGATGCATGGTGATGTTATATTTTAGTTTGGTTGTACAGGCTCCTCCTGAAAGTACACAGTGCGTATACAATCTGTTAACTTAAAATGGACACAATAATTTATAATATTTACACTTAACTTCTATTTTTAATGTCCTATATTAGGACAAAATTAGGGCAAAAGTGTTTCTTGGGAGTTTTAAATCATGTTATGATGTTGTTACCTCATCAAAAACCCACTTGCAGTTGTGTTTCATTCACACATGTTTGAGTAATCCTGTATTGTCTCCAAATCGATCTGATCTGTATCTTCAAAACACAAAATGCACTGTTCCACCTTGTGATGTCATGAAGCAGTAGTTTTAGCAGTAGAGATAGGCAATTCCAAGATGGAAATTACCCCAATGATTCTAGCAAAGGTGTATGGGCACATTGGAGCACTTACTGTATTAACACATGACATCATAAGGTGGAACAGTGTTTTCCTGCCTAAAGAAGAACCCTGCCTAAATATATACAGGGTTTGTGTGTTTAACATGATTGAATGAAACAAAACGTAACAAGAATGTTATTGTTTATTTTAATCCCATTAGCATTTGGAGCATACTGCATCAGCTACTCTTCCTGTGGTCACTTTAACCATGTTTTTGGTAAGGAAACAAGATTATAAATATATAATACAGACAGAAAATAGTATGATACGAGCCCTTTAAAGTTGGGGTTTAGTCTTGTTTTATGTCCATTTCTGTCCTTTTTTTTTTTTTTTAGACCTATGTGCCCTAATGGTTCTTGGTTTCAGAATACCTGATGTATCTAGAGGCATATTTTGGCATTATTGACTAGTAAAGCAGTGGTTTGATTGAATCACTTGACTGGAATAAAGTAAAAAACCCTGCAGACAAACTGAATCTTTGTGGGAGGGGAGACAGACGGCAGGTTGCACACTTTCCATGATGTAAATTGTGACGCCGTATGGTATAGGTGATTGCATTTTCTCACACACGAGCGCACGAGGAAGTGATTAGAGTGGTGGTTCAGTGTACACAAAATCAACATAATACAGCAGTGTGCAACATTTTGGCCAAAAGAAAAGATCATGTTTGCCAAACCATGAAAACATATCATATAACTGTATAGGATTTTATGATATTCAACAATGGGCAAATGGAAGATAGACTGATTATATATTTTGCTGTTGGAGTTGTGTACAAGTATAGAACTACACTCACCACTGAGCTGAGAGCGTCCGGATTCTAACACGTGATAGTAAATAGTGTAATATGTGATAAAGCCTCTCCTCTGCTCCACTGGCAGCTCGTCCCACTGCACTAAGACTTTGTTGGATTCATGGACCAAAACTGACATACTTGGTCCAAACAGTGGTTCTGGGCAAACACAAAGAAGTCAAAAAGAATTGTGAAAGATAAAGGCGATTTGGTAAAATCAAAGTAGTCAAAACTCACTTAGCTGTTTGGAGTAAACAACAGAGGATGATGGAGCACTGACGCCCCTTGTGGTCACAGCATAAACAGAAATATTGTACCGTACACCTGGTATCAGACCTGCGTAAAAACAACAGACATTCTTTCTTTAAAGATTTTAAAGAATTATGACCACTTAGTAATTGCTTACTAGTTATTAGTCAATAGTAAAATATATTGACCTATAGAAGTGTTTAGACCTACATCTTTATATTATTATATTATGGATATATTATTACATATATTATAGATATTTTATTCCATTCCATTTTACATTTGACATTTAACATTAAGATTATAGATTTGAGCATAGCTATGTCTCTCGGCTGGCCTGGGAACGCCTCGGGGTCCCCCCGGAGGAGCTGGAGGACGTGTCTGGGGTGAAGGAAGTCTGGGAGTCCCTGCTTAGGCTGCTCCCCCCGCGACCCGGCCCCGGATAAGTGGACGAAAATGGATGGATGGATGGATGGATTTGAGCATAGCAAAAACCAAGAAGTCTCTTATGCTGTTGTTGGCCACTAGAGGTCAGTGTTAAACGTCAGTTGACTCTACCTGTTATAGTTGCATGTTCGTGATCTTTGGACACATTTTCCCAGCGCAATTCTTTAGGAGGAAGGGTGGTCCACTCTGTTACATAATTCATCAGTCCCTCGTTTTGTTCAGGACGGGTCCAGGAGACAGCCACAGCACTGCTGTTTACTGAAGTCACCTCTCTCAAAACTGCTCCTGGTGCATCTAGAAAGACCCAAAAAACAAAACAAAACAATATGTAGGCCTGTTGAAAGTTTCAGTATGGTAGAGTAGCCAACAATTTACTTAAGGTAAATTTTATAGAGAAATACTTGCTGGTGATTTTGAATTTAAAATGCTGTTAAATTTTTCACTTTGAATTTTTAAAATTTTGTTTGAATAATTTTTAATCTGACTTAAAGTTGGTGAAATTTTATGTATACATCTTCAGTGTTTAAATAATAAATAAATAAACAATAAAAACATCACCTTTTAAATATTCAGCATATATATTTTCAAGCTCTCAAATTCAGAGTGCAAAATTTCCAGTGAAAAAAATCACATCAAAGATCCAAGATGCCAAGACAAAAGCAATCGATCCTAAGTGGGTCAGTCTAACCTGGTAACAAGCAGAAAATGCAGTAGGGAACCTACATTGATTAGTCTGAATTAGCCTCATCAAAACTTCATCTCTTTGATTTCTTAACAGTAAACTCCCCCCACAGATGAAAAGGGCCAATAGAAAACAGCTACCTATGTCCTCCCTGTCCTGTGAATTTTTTCACAGCAAATTTCACTCTCCGAATTTTGACTGTTGAATTTGGGGGTCTATATTGATATCTGTGTACTCTGTAAATGTATAATTTTTCAGGAAAACTGTAACAAGTCATTCAAATGGTAATATTTTGCATTTAGAATTGTATATCGCAGACTAGGGTTAGTAGGAGCTGGATTAGCCAGCATGCGAACTTCCTATTTGGACAGCGACATCTAGCGCGTTAGCTTTGTCCATTTATATATACAGTCTATGGTAAGACTGAACAAGTGTTGACTCTTCTGCAGTGGGTTGCTCTCTAGGTGCACAGGAGCTCTCGCTTGTGCCCTCAGCTTGTGTAGACATCTTTACAGAATAACTATCGAGAGCTCACCAAGTTAGCAAGACACACGTGCCAGTAGACATGTTTAACTTTTTAGCTGGTAGCCGCAATGCCGCTCTGACTTGCAGAAGTGACAGGAGGCTCCTCCTTGATTACATTATAACAGCCCATAACCTTGTGCACAATAATAGAGTTCTCCACACAATGATCACACTCTAACACTAAGCACTTTGGGAAACTGAAGGAAACATGGGTGGACATCAGATAGGAGAGGAGGAGACCAAGAGAAGAGAGAGATGTGGACCTCCAAAGCCCCATGCATCAGGTGTAAGGGTGCAGACTGACATCAACTTGGCTGTGCAAATCTTCCATGAATCTATTAAAATAACTTCCAAAAATCCTACAGACATCCCTGTTGTGATCATGCCCCCTTACAGACAGGACGTCCACCATCTTGGACATTAAAAATGTTTAGAAAAATTAAAGGATTGAGTTAGGGGGTTAGGGATTAGGGTATGATTAGGGTTATATTAGGGGCTAGGGGAATAGGGTAAGGTTAGGGTCAATGTCAGGGGCACGTTTAGGGGTTACGGTAGGGTTAGTTTCAGGGTTAGGGGTAGAGTTAGGGTTAAGGTCAGGGTTACAGCTTAGACTTAAATTTAGGCTAGGGTTAGGACACGAAATGCGGCAACGGCCGATCATTGCCACTTGCGGCTATATTTATTATTTTTCTTTGAGACCACCCCCTTCCTTTTTACCCAGTGAACAATGGTGAAAACTCACGAAACTTTGCCAACTATTAAAATTCGTGCTTCTCTACATTCTGGCTAATTCCGTTTTTCGAAAATAAATGAAATGAAATGCATTAGGGTATAAGAACGATGGCAAAAAAAATGTAAAATCACTACAGTCATGAAATATGACACAGAAGTAGATAATTACAAGAAGAGTACAAAATATTACTATTAATAGAATTATTGTTCCACTCCCGCTGTCATCAGCTTGTTGGATAAAAATTTGCTAAGCATGACTCAGCATTTTTGTAAACTTCATACTTTTGCAAATTTCTCCTAGGGTGTTCACTCAAACTGGCTCAAAATTGGTAGGCACGAGCGAGCGTCGATCATTGCCACTTGTGGCTTATATTTTGGTATTATTCTTGATAGACAGTCATCTAAAACAGAGGTAATTACAATATAACTACTTTGTTATATAATGATGATGTAATCAGATGAAACACTAATAAAATTTGTAATTCCTTAACAATAATCCCAAATCTTGCAGAAAATAAATACTGCCATAGCTTTTCATTTTTATCAAAACATCATATCTAGATCTCAAGCAGGTGAGCAAGTTACTCAGGCCTTGGTAATGCCCTAATTATTTTGTCTGGTGTTTCTACGTGGTTTGTACCTGATTGTGTGAGTGGGACAGTAGCAGGAGGGGACGTCCCATACGGGGTGACAGCAGTGACACTGATTGGCGGTAACAAAGGCACTCTTGCAGAACACTGGGACATGGGAGTACAACGGTGATCCTGTTTTTGACCATCACCGGAGAGGATGGCATAATGATAGACCTCACCACTGTATTCATTTGATGGAGGGGGCTGAAAGAAAAGACATTCAACAATTATAATTTGTCACATTTGTTTTAATAGTGTTGATTTAATTATTTGGCATCAATAGTACCTTCCAGAACACAGTTGCCTCTTGTTGGTCGTTTCTCATGGGAAATACTGAATCCCTCCAAACGTGTAATGGTTGAGAAGGTCCTGTGCAAAAGGACATATGTTTTATATTAGTGAATGACTATAGATATCTATAGATATAAATAGACAGCACAGAAAGCTTGACAAATGTCTTATTATTTTCAAATTTCACTTCAGCAAGTTGTCTATGAATAATTTCCTCTTCTAGATTTTCTTTTGCTACATGCACAAATCTGTTTAGTGTTTCTCAATAAGGCCTCAACCTTTCTGCTAGTTTAATCACAATCATCTCTTTGTACATTACAGGTGTAAAACAAACAAACAGTACCTTTGCCAGGAGTTTTCTTCCACACAGACGAACTCCACTTGCTACAAACCATTTTCTTTGCAGTGTGAAGATTTGTATCTGTTTGTTCAAGTGATTTGGTGCATGTTTTAACCTGAAAACCATAGTCTGTAAGAGGGCGTAATCCGGCCACTTGAACCAGACCACTACCAATTTCTGAAACCTCTGCTTCTTCCTGCAAAGCATTAAGACCATTACAAAATAACACAATTTACTGTATATTTTTTTTATTTTTAAGAATAGAATTATAGTTCAGTGCAATAACATTTATAAAATACACTTTAAGGAAACGACAGGAGACAGATCTGAATACAGTCAAGCTCTCTTTTGTCAGTGATTTGAATAGAATTAAGACTTAGCATCACAGTTCAAAGGAGGCACAGTAAAAAAGACCAACCAAAGATGAGATTTCAAATGTAGTGAAGAAAAAGGCAATACTTACCCAGTGACCATTAGTTGTGTGCACTCTTATGATTGGCTTTAGACTTTCAAATGATTCAGTGGTTTTCCAATGCAATACAGCAACCAAAGATTCATTAATAACTATTTGCATAATCTGAGGCATTTCAGGGACAACTGCAAAGAAAAGCATTACTCAGTGGCAGTTCACAACAAATAATCAGGTTCAAAAAACAAAATAAACAAATCTGGCAAAACATTATGGCCACTGACAGTAAATTTTGGTTCAAGAGATATCAAAAGTGCATGGATTTGAACAAATCTGACAACAATCAAATGTCTAAGATAAATTCTTTTGCTTTCAATACTCAATTTAAACAGATCTTTTTACTTCCTCATAGATCCCTGTCTGTGCAGACATTAGGTAAAACAGGAGAAGCGTCTCCTGTTGTAAGGCACAACAACAGTTTTACAAATAGTGTCTTTGTAGATAATATTTATCATATTTTGGTGTAATTTTTAAGGTCAAATGGAGTGGTCATAATTTTCTATGAGACCAATTGAATATACTCATTCCAACGGGGAGGTATTACCAATATCATCCAAAGTGAAGGTCAGAGGATCAGAATGAGACTTTCCAAAGTGGTTGTCAGCAAAAACCGTCAGCTGATATGTGGAATTATCATCAAATATATTTTGTGGTATTGTACAGTTTTCTTTATCTTCCACTGTATGAGAATATTCCCATGAACCATTTCCACTATAACAAAAAAACAACATACATTTAAATATCTAAAATGTAAAACTGTAATATTGTATTGTCAGTTCTTCAATGCAGAAAAAGACATCTTACATGTTTTTGATTGAAATATTGTAGGTAGTGAACTTATAGGCCTCTCTTCCTTTTTCCCATTTGCAGCTTATAGAGTCAGCATTTCTTGTAGTTTCACATCTGATATTTAGAGGTTTATCTGGTGGCACTTCACAAAGAAATATATGTTTTAACAAAATCTTACTAGAGGTGGAAGAGTGCTGAGGATTTAAATCCAGTAAAAGTATAGATATATGTCTGTGTAGTGAATTACAAATACAAATACTCCAGGTAAATTTGTACGTAATTAAAATTCTACTCAACATACTAGTTAACTTATGTAATGAAGTACAAATACATGCTAGAATTGAATACAAAATCTTCTAAAACAGTACAATTATGGTGTAATTAATTACTTTCCACCCCTGGCTTTTACTACTACAACTGATACTTGGCCTACATTACATTAATGCATCTTTATCTCTATAGTACAGTACAGAACTGGTACATACGGCCACTGCGTAGAGTTATCCCGGTGACATAGTACCGGTAATCTGCCCCAGGGTCCTGTTTCTTGCAGTACACATTGGTCTCTGGCTCTCTAACATTGGTCAAAGAGAATATTGCCGTGCAGCCAATGAATTCTGATGGCATTACTCTTTCTTTTCTCCTTTTTTTTTCAATCTCTAAATAAATATTTGATCTGGAAGACACAAAGCAAAACAGATAAATTAAAGATTGATGGATAAATGAATAGAAGGATAATTCATTTTGAACCCTCAACAATGTATGTAGTTTTATATTGTGTTATTCATTCACTCCACATCTGCGAAAGTATTATTGCAGCCACACCTACCAGTTTGCCCCATTGATTCCTCCTTCAACCACCAATTACTCACTCATGTACTCATCACATTCATATAAAAGCAATGTGGGTTGAACTGTCTTGCCCAAGGACACAACAACAGTATACAGAGATTGGAGATTGGTTCAAACTGCCAAACCTCATGTTGCTGGGATATGGCTGTAATTGCTGACTGAGCCTCTGCCATATAATAGTATAATAGTTGACATATACGGTAACTTACTGGTGTGGACATTCAAAGATGTGGCAGGACAGAGTCAGGTTGGAGCCCATGAGGAAGGGAACAGGTGGTTCTACTGTAAGATTTCCAAGGCTTTCAAACTTGGTGCAGAAAAATGAGGGAAACAAAATCCAATCTGTAACAAGGGAACAGGGCTGAGTAAATGCAGTAGTGTTTGTTTTTATGAATTTACTATATAGGTTATTGTGAGCTGTGAGTGTGTTGTTAAATGGTAAAAATAAATAGAGAAGCAGTTTTCCCTTTCCTGTACTAAGACATGCAGAAATAAGGTCACAAGCACCAGCAGAAACCACAACTACCGACTGCACCACTGTTTTCACATGACTTTGACCGTATTCACACCAGCACACTTGTACCTGCATCAAATCACCAATCTGGGACTAAACATGGAACTAAATCAGACCAGAACAGAACCAAACCAAGTCTACATGAGAACTTAACGAGTTTCAGACTTTTTCAACTTTATTTCAGTTTTTTTTTTTTTCTTAAGGGCTGTCTTGTCCCTGATATCATCATTGGTTTAATCTTGCATTGGTACAAGATCAGAATCATGGATTGATATCTGGTTTGAACCTGGTATAGTATTATTAGCAAGGTAATAAGGACTGTTTTTATTTATTTATTTTTGGGTAAATATATTAGTTCTGTTTTAATTGTGGTTCATCTAAAATAAGTCCTATAGTCCCACTTACAGAAATTTTGTCTGTATTTAGAACCCAAGAACAGTGAACATTACACAAACAGTACAAAGTATAAACCTGTAGCTTGAAGTATTTAAACAAGATACAACACAGTACTCACAGATACAGAAAAAGAGGAGTAAGACTTGTCTACTCCAAATGACTGGAGGCATCTCAGATCACATAATCCTTTAAGTCCAAACAGCCACTCTTCATGATCAGGTCCTTGTAAAACAAAGACCGTCTTGATTCAAAATCAACATATGGTTATTTTGAGCAGTTCCTACCTCAGCCATGTATTCTTGTATGACATTTAGAGATCATATCTTCCCCTACACGTGCTGCAGCAGATAAAAGCATTTCTGTTTCTTTGCAAAAACATGACTTCACTATTGAAAATGAATGTACATTTAGTATATTCCTGAAAACTTTAAACCAACGTTTTAAAATTATAGCTTACCTTAGTTTAGCCAGTTCAAGCAGCAAGTGTACTTTATGAGAATCTGTCTTCTTATGAGGTTTTTTGTCAATGTGAAACATTTTAAGGAGGTCACTGACCTAGTTGGGGGTGCAGATGAAAACATGCGACTTCAGTGGTGTGCCTTTCATCTCCACATTGAGGCTAAACATTAAGATTGTGCTCATAAAACATGCTGCACATGCAAAACCCCATGACAAATCTTCAAAAACATGCTGACCAAACCTTTATCACATCTCCTTTGATCTCCTTTTTATGGTCAATATTTAACTGATGTACACATGTAAAAAAGTGAACAAAAGTACTAAATGCTGCTATTGGTGTCAAAAAAATTACTTCCAAAATCTATTTTTAAGTAAAAAAACAAACAAACAACACGACAGTGATTTCCTTTACTAGTTTACTGTATTTTCCATTTCATACTTCAAAGGCATTCAAGGGAAAACCCAGTTTGTATCAAAGATAAAATATGCAGTTTTTCAGATTTAGTCATATTTTACATATGTTACGTGTGACTTGACTAATGATGTCAATTTTAATAACATCAAAAATTATTAATTTAGCCTTATAGTATCAATAGAAGTTGAATAGAATTAGGGACATTGCTTATCATTTGGTAGTTTTATGTCTCTAGCATCATTAGTTTCTGAGATATGGCAAAAGTGTAATTTCTTTGGTGCTTCAAGGACTTTGAATAAGCAATAGGTTGTGAATTGTAACAAATGTAGGGCCTACAACACATTATGTAACTTGAAATTAAAAATTTAGAACTGAAACTTGAAATTGTGAAAAGTTAAATGTTTAATACAGGTATTATTATATTATGACTGTCCGTTATCAGACGTGTACGCTGTAACCTACTTGTCAAAGCATCAATAAGAAACTCCATTCATCCATGTATTTTCTTCTGCTTATCTGGGGCTGGGTTGCAGGTGCAGCAGTCTAAGCAATGACTCCCAGACTTCCATCACCCCAGACACTTCCTACAGCTCCTCCAGAGGGACCTGAAGGCATTCCCAGGCCAGCCGAGAGACATAGTCCCATCAGCGTGTCCTGGGTCTTCCCTGGGGCCTCCTTCAGGTGGGACATGTCCAGAACACCTTCTGAGAGAGGTGCCCAGGACAGATGCCAGAGCCTCAGTGGCTCCTCTTGACGTGGAGGAGCAGCGGCTCTACTCCGAGCCTCTCCTGTGTGATTGAGCTCCTCACCCTATCTCTAAGGGACCGCCCAGCCACCCTGTAGAGGAAACTTATTTCGACCACTTGTATCCACGATCTTGTTCTTTCAGTCATTACCCAAAGCTCAAGACCACAGGTGAGGGGAAGAATGTAGATTGACCAGTAAATTAATTTGATTTGCTTTTCGGCTCAGCTCCCTCTTCACCACAACAGTTCGATGCAGTGATAGCATCACTGCAGAAGCTGCAAGAAAGAAACTATTTAACAATTCTTAATAGATGCGCTTTAATCACACTGTCTACATCTTTCTCTTTCTCAGGTTTGGTGTTTCCTTTCCATATGCTTCAACCACCTGCAGAACATTCTGATAATGTTCTTCTCCTCTAGCAGAGCCAGTGAAGTCTATGCTGAGCTTTAGATTACGCTCTGCGCTGTCATTTATAACATTCATGCATTCCAAGGTGCAAGGTCCCAGGGCTTCCTGGTAGACTGGTAGGTGAAGCCAGGTTGAAACTAGCCTGATTCTTTAGCTGGTTTCACTTTGTGGAAACCCTCTGAACTCGCAGCATTAGGATTTGTTCCATCGGTGGTAGGTGGGTACATTTTTATTTAACCAATTGCTGCTATTTGGTCGTGACGTATGTGAAATATTGGATATATGATGTATGCTGGCCTACGGGAGTCTGGCCTAACTCTTCGGTCAGAAAGACTGCAGCGGGATCCAGAGGTTTGAATAGGAAGGTTTACTGATGATTGTTATGGATAAGAATAAAGACTGGGATTGTGACTGTAATTGTGTGTGGTTATCTAGAACAGAAAAAGAGAGAAATATATACAAATAATTAGAACTGTACACACATACCAATAATAACAAATATACAAAAAGAATACAAATAAACATATTAATTATACTATATTGGCATTTACAATGTAAGTCCAACAGATGGCGCCAGAGACCACCTCATGACGTTATGTAGTTAGCGGAACGCATGTTTAATGGGGGATCAGGTGGTAAATGACAAAGTTATAAAGAAGTAATTAAGATGGATATAGCGAAAATATTTGAAACAACAGATAAAAATTGCACACCAAACTGTACAGAACAATACATAATACAATACTCACTTCTCATTTACGCACGAACATGAACATTAGCAGGAGAAAGACAAACGTGTGCCTTTCTCCTTGGCACTTCCTCTGTGTACTGGCTACCTGCGCTGCAATGCACATGCGAAGGAGAGGCAGTAATGACGTCCTCTTAAAGGGACGGCAGCATTACAGCAGGGAAATTTGTACAGTCGCCCCCAAATTCAATAATGTATTTGTAATACACAAATATCCCTGCTGTGCTCAGTCCTCAGGCATCTCTGACAGTGGGATGAGCTTGGCTACTGGCCGAGTGTAAATAGTCCCTTTAATGTCCACCTCCATGGCTCGGATCCTGCCGTCGTCGCTGGGGATCACCTTGGTGACACGTCCTATGGGCCATCGTGCCCGTGGTTAACTGTGGATCAATGACCATGACCACTTGATCCGTACTCAAGTTTGGAGAGTCGGTGTGCCATTTCCTCCTCTGGTGAAGGTTAGGTAGGTAGTTCTTGGTGAACTGGACCCAGAAGTGGTCTGCCAGGACTTGGCTCTGTTTCCACCGGCGACGTCCAATCAGGTCACTGCTGCCGTAGATAGCTTGAGGTAGTGATGCATCCCGTCGCCCCATCAGCAGGAGGTTAGGAGTAATGGGGTCAGGGTCAGCAATGTCTGAGGTGGCATAGCCCAGAGGTTTTGAGTTAAGGATACCCTCCACCTCTATAAGTACAGTGAGCAGCACTTCTTCGGGGAGGACTCTGTCTTTAAGTACAACCTGGAGAGCTGTTTTGACTGATTTTATCTCCCTCTCCCAAATACCTCCAAAATGAGGTGCGTAAGGTGTGTTGTATTTGAAGGTGATGCTCTGTTCGGCTAGCTGCTCTTTCAGTGCTGGCTCCAATGCTTCAAATGCTCTCTGCAGTTCCCCATCTCCACCCCTGAAGTTAGTGGCTCTGTCACAGAGGATCTCGAAGGGCTTACCTCGTCTAGCAACAAAGCATCGCAGGGCAAGTAAGAATGAGTCCGTATCCATACTGCAGAGAAGGTCGAGATGCACACATCTTGTAATCAAGCATTTGAAGATAATGCCCCATCTTTTCTCCTGTCTGCGGCCTATCTTGACAGTATAGGGCCCAAAACAGTCAATCCCTGTGGACCAATAGGGAGGCTTCTGAAGGCGGAGCCGTGCAGCAGGTAGGTCTGCCATACGTGGAACGCTAGGTTTGTTGCGCCACCTCTGGTAGTCTGCACAGGTATGTTGATGCTTCTTTACAGCTTGGCGGCCACGGATGATCCAATATGTCCGCCTCATCTCAGCAAACACACGGTCAGGACCTGGGTGGAGCAGTTGGTTGTCATAGTGTTGTATCAGCAGCCTAGTGACAGGGTGGTCAGGTGCCAGGAAAATAGGGTGGATGGTGTCCTGTATCCCATCCGCCTTCCTCAGCCGACCACCAACCCGCACCAGGCCCATGGCACCATCATACTCTGGACAGAGAGGAAGCAAACGGCTGTTAGTGTTTAGTGGCTTACCTGTCTGCAGAGCAGCGAGCGCTGCAGGGAAGCTCTCCTCCTGCGCTCGCTTGAGAACGGTGACTTCTGTCTCAAGCTGATCAGAGGCAGTCATCGGAGGCGCGGCCGCTCCATGTAGGGCTAGGTACGTGGCTTGTAGCAAGTCAGACCAGGACTTGCACTGAGCTGGGTCTAAAGCTGCAGGCGTGACAGTCGAAATGCTGCCACAGAAGGTTGTATCACGGACCTCCTCTGGCTGAGTGGATGTAGCAGTAGGTTTGACTGGCCATTCACTCTGTGGCTGATAGAGGAACCCAGGCCCACAGATCCAGCGGCTAGGCTTAGACAAGTCACTGAGAGGTTTGCCACGAGTAATGTCATCTGCAGCATTCTCACTGGATGGGACATAGCGCCAGTTATCTGGCCCCACCAGCTCTTGAATCTCCGCGATGTGAGTCCCCACAAATACTTTATACTGCTATGACTCCGACTGGATCCAGTGGAGGACAGTAGTTGAATCAGTCCACAGTGTTGTAGCTCTCAGGGGCAGTGTTAACTCTGTTTGGAGAACCTTTGCTAACTGTGCACCAGACAGAGCAGCACAAAGCTCTAGGCGGGGGATAGAGAGCTGTTTCTTTGGTGCCACACGGGACCGGGCCAACACAAAGGATACCTGTACTGCTGCTGTGTCATTCGTGCTCTGCCCTAATGTAAGCAACTGCACCATAAGCTCTCTCTGAGGCATCTGTGAAGATGTGGAGTTCCACAGGTGTACTGGCTGGGATGTCCAAAGTGTAGCATCTGGGATATTGAAACCTGCTGCAGTTGTGATAGTTCACTCTCCCACGCCTGCCATAGAGGGAGGAGCTCATCTGTGATCGGCTCATCCCAGTCCCAGCCTTTCTTCCACAGGGCTTGGACCAGCACCTTAGCACGCGTTGTGTATGGAATGAGGAAGCCAAGTGGATCATATTGGCTTGCAAGCACTTGATACACGTACCTCAGTGTGGGCTGGGCAGGTGGGATGTCTCGGTGTCGATAGCTCAGTGTGTCAGTGCTGCAGTTCCACAGCAGTCCCAGAGTGGACTCTAGGGGATCTTCTTTGTGTGCAGACAGCCATGACTCACAGCTTGCTGACTTTGCTTCAGCAGGCAGGTGACAGATAATCCGGTATGTTCAGGACCACTGGCGCATGTCAAAGCCTCCACTAGCGAGGAGTGCTCTAAGTCTGTCAATGAGCTGTTTTGCCTGCTCTGCTGTGGGGAGTGACTGGAGACAGTTGTCCACGTAGAACGCTTGCAGCACAGAGTTGACTACATCTTCCTTGCCTTCACTATGGTCCTGGACATGGACGCTGCACTGCATATATTGCACAACATGGGCTGCAGGTCGTGCCGAATGGCAACACACGCCACTCATAGACATCTGGGCTGCGCTCTCTCTCACCATCCCTCCACAGGAAACGGAGCAAGTGGTTGGTCTTCAGGGAGGAGACGCACCTGATGAAACATACCTCGGATGTCACCACTGATAGCTACAGCATGTTCTCTGAATCTTAGGAGCACAGCAAGAAGTGAGGACCCTAGAGTAGGGCCAGGCAGTAGATTAGTGTTGAGGCAGCCCTTCTGGTAAACAAATGAGCAGTTGAAGACAACTCTGGGTTTGTTGTTGTGAAAGACAAGATGGTGTGGCAGGAACCATGATTCCTTTGAGCTGCTCACTTGTTCTGCAATTGATTTTAACTGCATAACCTGCTTTGATTAGTTTGTTGATTTCCTCATTGTAGATTAACAGTTGTTCGGGATTGTGGGTGAGGCAACGCTCAGTGGCTCTGAGGACAGGCATTACTGCGTTAGGTGAGGCCAGTAGGGGAGGTGCATGTTTCTTACGCAGGAGAGGAACAGCATACCTGCTCACACCATCCACTGTGACTCTAACGCTTCTTTGCTCTAGTTGTTCTAGGGCAGCTCTGTCTTCTCCAGAGCGAGTGGCCTCTTTTGTGGAACGAAATGGCAGCGTATCTAGTTGCCAGAGTCTCTCTACATGTAGATGTAGCTCTTCTGCAGGGGACAGAACTGACAGGTGGAGACAGCTGCTGACGTTAGAAGACTGTTGGAGGAAGCTGGCTGGTCCCTGCACTGCCCATCCCAGTGCGGTGCATACTGCAACAGGACCACCAATGGGGCCAATTCTCACTGGCAACGTTGGGGTGATTAGATGTGGATTGTCTGACCCAATGAGGATCATGGGCTTGATCTTCTCAAAGGCAGGCAAGGAAATGCCTCTCAAGTGTTTGTAGCTTCTCTGAAGACTTTCTGCGGAACAGGACTGCTCAGCTAGGTTTAACTCTGCTGCTGTGAATGCATGGTTTATCTTATATTTCAGTCCTTTCTTTGTGGGAATTGACACCTGAAATGAAACTGTAGCTCCTTTAATCTGTACTATCTCTTGTCTAATGGTGCGCAGAGACAGGACCTCCTGTTGTTCTGGAAGGCCTAGCTGACGAACTGCAGAAGGTAAGATGATAGTACGCTCAGAGCCATCGTCCAGCACTGCATACGTGTTCATGTATTTCCTCCCATTGTGTAGACGGACTGGAACCACCTTTAACATCACCCTGCCTGAATGACTTGCTTGGTCCAGGAAAAACATACCGGAGGATGTACTGACTGCAAGTATGTTCTCTGTTTGGGCCACCTCGTGAAGGACAGGGAGGTGCTGTTCTCCACAGGTGGAGCAGGGCTTCTTCAGGGTGCAGTTGGTAGGCAAGTGTCCCCTGCCACATCTCCAGCACTTCCTCTTCTCCTTAATCCAGTCTGCTTTGGCCTGGTGAGTGAGTTTAGAGAACTCCGTGCATCCATTTAAGTAGTGCTCTTGATTATTGCAATATGGACAGTATGGTTTGAATTTGTCCCGCTTCTTTATTTGTAGTGGAGCAGTGGAGACTGGGTGTGCAGTAGGAGGCTCCTGGTTGCTGCCAAGTAAAACTGCGGTGGACTTGGGTTTCTGCGGTTTAGGTGCTCTTCTCTCCCTACTGTCTGCACTACTAGAGTCTGTGGTATTGGCAGTGATCCTACGGGAGACCTGCAGTGTCTGCACCTTCTTCTCGAGCCACTCTGCTAAGTCTGATAGGGTGTATGTTCTATCACTGCCACTCTGTATAATACCCCTGTTAAAACAGTGCTCAGCAAAGGAGTCTCTGAAGTGTGGAGGCAATTTGGTGAGCAGAGTGTCAACATGAGACCCACTGAGGATGAGGGCCCCGGCATGGAGCTGAGCATTCCCACCAGAGTGCCGACTGCAGCTGCAAAGTCCTCAATGCCCTGGTAGTCACCTGTTCTGACTGGCGGAGTATTCAGGATGGCCTTGAGTTCTCCCTGTACCAGCTGTCTGGGTTGGCCGTATCTCTGCTGAAGAGCTGCCATAGCACTGGTGTATGGAGTGGTGCTGTTAATGTACCGTTTGACTAGTTGTATGGCTGCAGGGAATTTCACATGATCGAGTAGAACCTGATATTTGTAGTCCTCAGTGAGATGGCTATGGGGGGCAAGCACACTGTCCAAACCTTTCTTTAGCAGGAGAAAATCACTCTCCTTACCAGAGCTGAAGATGAAGAGCTTT